CAGCGACGTTTGCTTGTGCAGTGGGAAGGGTTTGGGGAGGGACATCGGTGGACGCTGAACTGCGCGGGCCAATGATACTTCCCGGTTGCCCAGGCCGAGGAAGAGGGTTTTGTTGAGGTACCCCACCTTGAGCCTTCGACTCAAAAGTCTGACCCACAAGGCAGTGGGAGAATGTAGGGTTTTGGTAATTTGTTGAAATATTGGTAGCTCGGGTGAGTTCATTGGTTGTTTATCAGGTGGCTGTTGATCTGTTCGCCGAGCTTGGCAATTGGCTTGCAAACGTTTCGTCACCATACGAGGATACATCATCAGTGCGCACTCAACTGCTTCCATAAATATGGACATGCTGGTCGCCTGGGGGAAACACCTTACTGCCTTCACACTCCTGTCGCAGAGGACAGTACAACTTTATCCCCAGACCGCCCCTTACCACGATTGCTCGTAGTGCGGGGTCTCGCTGCTCTTGGTCTGGCTGCTCCCATTTGGCCTTCCTGGCATGGTTGTACCTTGTGGAACGAAGTTCCAGCCAGTGTAGCCCGCGGGATCATTGCAGCACTCAAGCCCGACCACCACGTCAAGGTGGCAGCTTTAGGTCGGGGATCGTGGCGGGTAGTGGTATGGCTGCTGCCCAAGGTATCGAATACCAAGGTACCAATGTACCAGAAACATCTGATGATTGTTTGACCTCATTACAAAAACTCAACCTTGCTGTGGTATGACAGCGTGCCTCCGCGACCCGTTGAGCTTTACTGGAGTTTCCATGCGATACGTACAGAGTCTGTCACACCAGGTTGGTCAGTGTTTTGAAGTCTAATCAACAAGATCTCCTGGCCATCCACGTCGGAGTTGAAACGTAAATGTAATGCACTAGCATTCCTCCGCAAGCCGCCGCCCTGCGGTCGGGCTTTCGAGCCAAAATCTTCTGTCAAGGACCCTAGTCATCCTTCATCTAGGTTTGGGCGCCGTGGCAGTATCCAAGCCCACGTACAACCGTGAATTACACACATACAAGTACTCTCACACCATCTCGGCCGTCACTCGGTATCTCCAGTCCGGTCGCCTTACTTGTCGCGTACAGTATGGGGGGAGGGCTAAGCGAAAGGGTGCTGCTGACACTTACCGTGTTTCTCTTGCGCATATTTTATTTTCTCTCCCCTAACTCCTACCCCAACAATAGTGTATTCTCACCTGTTAGGACTGACGACTCGGTTCGTATTGCATCGGCCTTGGTCGCAACATCTGTGGGTCGGCCAGTGCCGACAGCCTCAAGCATCTCGAAATCAGCCTTAAAACACCAATACTACTGAACACTTTTAATGTTTTCACTCTGAAGCAAACAGGACAACAAGCTGTCCTTTTGAGGTAGCGAAACATTAGTGCTCAACACTGATGTGTTGTCGATGATATCTTGGCCCCCTGTTGCGGTTTGAACTAGTGGCATTGTACATGCTGTCATTTTGGTCTCGTTAGCAATCTTTATGTTCAGCTTTCATGTGGGGGATTTTGTTGCCTATGCTATGCTTTTTCCTCTTCCTCCTGTAGATGTCTTTTGTGTGGCCGTCCGTTTCACAAACCTTGTGGATGGAATGTTGCCTCTCCATCAATCGCCTGGACTTGGCACTACGTGTCCTTCTACCGCTCGATGTAAACGAACCCACTGTTGACAAGGTTGTCGAGCATGCTCTGCTCGTCGAGCGCTCGGAAATTCGACTCCGAATCTGTGCTCTATGGACTGCGTTTATATTCATACTGCAAAATAAGAGACTGGAATCCGATAAGAAACCCTGTAGGTCCTTTGCCACGGCTTGCGCTGTTCTTTAGCTGGTACACTTTGTTGCGTAAAGTCAAATGCGTGTGATCACTATCTATCGAACTAGATACTTGTTTTGTACCGTGTTCATTTAGCCACCTGTATCTGCAGATTAATAACATTTGTGGCTTTATTGAATAGGTTTGTTGTTTGTCGCTATCGTTCTCGGCTGCCAGTCTTTTGGACAGCAGACATTAATACTATACTTAAACCCTGTCTGCCGAGACAACCTCATCTCTGGAGGAAAGTTGTGTTGATTCTGCGGCTCCCTAGTGTTCACGTTGCAGAAGCTAACATAACCTGATTCGGAGTGAAGCGAATTAGGCCTCAATTTCCACAATAATGTGTCATGCACTACAGTTGTCTCTCCAAAAGAGATCCTTTCGAACAGCAACGCTCCCGGACCACGACCCAATACGTGAGCCTTACTGTAAGAGGTCAAACACCCGTAGTGTGCCCGCTTACTGAGGGTTACTGCATACGGCATTCTCGGTGGGACACTCTAGAAGGGAGTGCAACACTTTAGGTACATAATTAGTTACTCAATAACTTACTTGCTTACTTTCTGACTTCACTTCGGATACCTCCTGTGTCGGTTTCTCGCGTATCTGGGATCACAGCTATGCAATCACGGTGACCTGTGGCATGCTTCTCGCAGATAATGATGTAATGATTGCTTGAGTCTCGAACGAGTGGAAACCGGTTATGGACTATCGGCAAGTTTTTATAAATCTCACCATACTTCTTTTAACGGATATACACTGTCTTCATGGTAACCACTCATTGCTCGAGATGCCCCATTGGTTGAGGCGGGAATTACTGACGAATTACCCCGGGACATCTCCACTTGTTCCTGTCCAGCCTTGAGTAACTCTCGTGCTTCCTTAGAGTCGCATGACAGCTAGGCACCAAAAGATGGTTGGTTATTGCATACTACTAACCGAAGATGTTTATTGAGGCTGTACAGTCGTCTTCGTTCTATATTGCTTGTGTTTCAAATCTACTCATAATGGTGCCTCTTTTACCTTGAACTTGTCAGTTGTGGTGGATTTAATTGAGGCAGCGGGTGATCTGGTACCGGTAGTTAATCAAGTGAAAAGCACTCGAGACCAATATCTTCTCGGGCGTCTGTTCTCCTGCTGTGGTTCGGTCACCCCAGATACCAACATCGCATCTGTGACCAGTTTGGCTGAACAATACACTGCCGGGATTCAAGCGGATGAAACCTATTATGTGAATCATCTTTTTCTGGGAAAGCTGCTTCGTCAATCAGGCAAGGTCAAGTAAGTTGTGCCTGTGCATTGGTGCATCCATTCTGTTTGAAATAGTGATCCTGTGCAATCAGCAGGATAGCCGGCTTGATTGTGTCCTGAGGCGTTATTTCCTTGCATTTACTTCGGATCCATGTCCCGAAGCGCCCATTTCATTCAGGAGTCTGTTGGATAGCTCGTTGTAACAATGGAAGAAGAAAAGGAACCGCAGAAATTCCGCGTACGCTCCTCAGTCTATAAGTGGCGGTTTGCGGAACTCTGAATTCCTCCCTCGTTTATGTTTCAAATCTACTCATAATGGTGCCTCTTTTACCTTGAACTTGTCAGTTGTGGTGGATTTAATTGAGGCAGCGGGTGATCTGGTACCGGTAGTTAATCAAGTGAAAAGCACTCGAGACCAATATCTTCTCGGGCGTCTGTTCTCCTGCTGTGGTTCGGTCACCCCAGATACCAACATCGCATCTGTGACCAGTTTGGCTGAACAATACACTGCCGGGATTCAAGCGGATGAAACCTATTATGTGAATCATCTTTTTCTGGGAAAGCTGCTTCGTCAATCAGGCAAGGTCAAGTAAGTTGTGCCTGTGCATTGGTGCATCCATTCTGTTTGAAATAGTGATCCTGTGCAATCAGCAGGATAGCCGGCTTGATTGTGTCCTGAGGCGTTATTTCCTTGCATTTACTTCGGATCCATGTCCCGAAGCGCCCATTTCATTCAGGAGTCTGTTGGATAGCTCGTTGTAACAATGGAAGAAGAAAAGGAACCGCAGAAATTCCGCGTACGCTCCTCAGTCTATAAGTGGCGGTTTGCGGAACTCTGAATTCCTCCCTCGTTTATGTTTCTGACTGTTCATCCCACGTTTCTGGTGTTGTGTCCAGTGGACAATCGTGCAACTCTGTATCGGCCCGTCGGCTTCCTGATCCGGCCACTATGATGTATCAAAAGGCATGGTAGCTCTACACAGCCCTTTATGGAGACAAAGGAAAATTATTATAACTGTATTTATAGGGTAATCACAGAGTGTTCCACAAGGCCGTGCCAGAATGTCTGTGAGAGGGTGAGAAGCGTCGAGTCAAAGATGCTCGACCCCGATTGGCTGGCATTCTGACCAATCAGGGCATGCCTTCATCTGGTCCGTGTCCTGCACGTGACACATCTGTCCAAATGATGTGTTATTCGGGTATTAGGAACGGCTGGCATCCGGACACGTGTCTCGTGTCTCTTAGTGTTTCAGACTGGATTGTGCTAGCTGATAGTGATCACGGTCAAATGCCATTCGGAAACGTCTTGGTAAATGAAATTATTTGAATATCTGGATACTTGTCTTTAGCAACCTTCGCTACTCTGACACTCTACTGGTGCACCCTAGAACGAAATCAGTAGCTTTACGACGCGTCTGAAACAATGTCTGTATGAACAGTCTATCTACACTTTACAACTGTCTGGTAGGCCAACTGAACTCGTCGCTAGTCCACTCTCAAGCTGCAGCGGCATGTAGGATAGCCGAATCGCAGAGGTCCTATTACAATTTTTTAATTGGACGCACTATGCTGAGGCACGGTGTGGTAGCTTAGGTGGGCTCTGTCAATAGTTTGGCTATTTAAATTTCGGTTCTTATTTCTCCAGGTCTTCGTGAAACTTTCGTTTCAAAGTTCATACGGAAGCAGAAGCCGATAATGACGCTTACTTTCACTAAGCACCCTTCTGCTTTAGGCCCACCCTAGTGTCATCACTTTGGTTTGGCATACGCTTCACACCTGCAAAGTGTAAGGTGTTACTACAAGACTGGGTGGCATCAAATCCAAACCTCATGCTTGCGGGTGAGCAAATAGACGGAGTAAATTTGCTTACCTGGGCAGTTGTATAATTTCCGGTGAACTGACTGGAAATGGGGTCAGGGCAGCTTTAGCCAACTTCCGACACCTATGGCGTTAGTTTGTCTGTCAAGGGCAGCGGCGATGCGATCCATTCTACTTATCAGAGACGAGACGTGGCCTCTACGCGCAGAGAACGTACGAAAGATGTCAGTGCTTGACCATCGGTGTCTCCGAAGCATCGGTCAGGTCTGGTGGGAACATTGGATTAGCAATGCTGAGGTACGCCAAATGGTCTTAGGAAGGAGGAAATCTCCCGCGATAGATGAATTACTCATGCTTCATAGGTTACGTTGGTTGGGACATGTACTCCACATGCCAGAAGACCGTCTGCCTCACAGAGCTCCTTTTGCCCAACCCTGTGCTGAATAGAAGCGAACGAGAGGTAGCCAGTATATGACTTGGCAACAAAGTATGAAAACACTGACCAGTAAACTTAGTAGGGTGGGCAACTGCCGCCTACCTGGATGGGGAACCCTGGACACTGGCACGAGTGGCTCAATCGCGCAGTCAATGGCGCTAGTGCATCAAAGCTGTCGCCTTCGATGCGTAGCTATCCAATTCGTGAACTAACTGATCATACTATCGTCTCCAAGGCTTGGTCGTATGTCCCGCACTCTCCCGATTCCCGGTGATCGAAACTAGCAGTTGGAACCAATTTACCTATCGTACACGGTTTATAGCTGATAAATTGATTGATTGGTTGGTTGGACTGTAACCGGCTCTTGCTGCTGTTCTCAGTGTGATGTCCAACCGGATGTTGCGACCGGGGCCTAGCGATTTTGAAAGACTGCTAGGTCAACAAGTATTCTTTTTTGGTGCTTACTGAAAAAGTTGCGCGCGGTACCTATGGCCAGAGGGTGATGGATCATAAAACGACAACTATTGTTTACTGCATTTGCTGTTGTTCCTATCAGACTGAGTCTCTGTGCAGCCGAAATGTGTTAAAACTAGTTCTACCGTGTTGTAGTGATTCTAATGTTTGATGCGGAAAGACTTAGTGTCTACATGGATATCCTTACTTAAGTGCGAAACGTTGTCGCTTCTGGGTCAGCCTTCCTGAGTTGGCTCTGGACGGTTTCCGTTAAACATGGTCTATGCGAAGTCCCCAAAAAGTTAGGCATTCGTTTTTCATTACATATTTTTACCGTACAAAGTTTGAACAAGCTGTGCTCAGATATCTTGGGAGCACTGCGCCACCGTCTAATGCATATCTGGAATCCCGTTTGATTACTAGTGAAATCTGGCTCTTGGTCGTCCACCGTTACCCCGACCCTCCGGCGCTGTATTCATGTGTGCGATGAATTACTTTTTTTTAATGTTTCTTTCCTTAATTTTCGTAAAGATTTGGAACTGGATCTACAACTTTTTCTAGCCTTTGCAGCATTTTAGTCCAAACCTCCGGACAATACTTATGTTTAATTGGTCAAGACAGCCTGTGTTGAATTCAGCACCAACGGTGAATGTGTAATCCTCCATATGCTTCAGTACTCAGCGTATACTTTTTATATTAGAATGTCCTTATATTCCTCATATGGTAGTTGAACTTCTTGAAAAAAAAACAGTAGAAATCCCCGAATATCTCGATAGATAGACGTGGCCCGATTTCTAGTAATGTGTCCCAATTAATGTCAAAGCCCTGGAATGAAATCCGAAGGGTTACATGCTTCAGTGGACATCTCAAATTGGCATCGCGAGATATTTGTTTTCCTGTCGAGACACTTTAGGATTCCCGCTGTGCCCCCTCTAGATTTCTGAGGCGATACTGCCAGGAAGTGTTACTATGATAAGTGGATATTTAAGGTACAATATTCATTTCATTTTTAAAAATTCTTTCTCGTTCTCGAAACCAGAGCTGCTCTAGAACCTTTGTCGCGTGCTCATGCGCTCATGCCCAGTTCACCGGAAGCTGCCTATGAATTATCGCTCGCTCTCTGTCAAGACTATCAGTTGGTAAGTTTGTCCCCAGCCATTAAGAAAATAAATCGTTCAGCTGTAGAGCCCTTTCGGTGCCTAGCTACCATGCCACCCGGAGGTTTCACGGGGGCTGGGATACTGCCAGGTTGCCCACTCCGGAGAGGTTACTTCTGAAACGTCTTTACCTTCAGCTGGTCCATTACAGTAAAATTTCCTTCTTGGGAAGTTCATCTCGCAGGAGTGACCACCTGCCTAGGGTCCTTTGGGATAGAGCCTCCAGAGGAAGACAGCTACTCTGTATTGGGAACTTCTACTGGCCTTACTTATTGATTTTTGCCTTGATTCATTGCCGAAAACCCTCAATACATACCGGTTACTCTTCACTCACGCTGAATCCGAACAACCAATAGCAGATTGACGGTGGATTTTTCGATTCTATTGGAAATTGGTAATTTAAAAGTACTGAAGTCGACTAATGTCTGTGATTTAAGGTTTGGGTAAACTGAGCACGAAAATTGAGTACATGGTTTGCTTATTGTGAGGTGCTTTCAGTCTCTCGTACCTCCTTCATTTCAGTTTTAGCTGACAGTTATATTGCTCATCCCCTTTTGCGACCCCATCTTTCTCAGTAGCTGCAGTTGTTTTGTCTTCGTACTGAGCATCTTAGTTAAGTTTAGACTGTGATTAACAGGTGAATAACGATTCCCCTTTCATTTGAGTTTGTCTGTCAAAAATTTTACGGTTCATCAACCCTGTTGTTTATTTTTCCATTGCACTATCCCCACATGTTCCCGACAGGAAACGGCCCTGGACACGTACACTACAGTTGATCAAAGGTTAGATGAAATGTCTGTTTTTTGTTGTTGCTTTGTCGTTTCTATAGAAACAATCTTTCTCTGACCAATCACCTCACTGTTTGTTGTCTCGGCGATGAGGGTGTGGTACAGCGACCGTAGCCTTTTGGAATGTTTCAGGTCCTTGAGCTGCGATCAACCAGCCTGCTCGTTTCTTCTTTCAGTATATTAAGATTCTGGTTTGAATAGATTTCGGGTAACCTCTAGCTGATTCTCACTTCTCTTCTGGATCAGGCTATTCACACAACAGATGTGGCTCAACTTTGGTCTGATTGCCCTACGACTGGGTAAAACATCAAAATGCGTCCCGGCCCTACAGAAAGTGATCATTTCAGACCCAAAGAATCCGTAAGTCAGAAGACTATCGCTCCCGCTTTTTAAGAATCCAATTTTCTCTTGTTCAGAGGCAGCAAGTTGCAAAATGTTCAAATCCACTGATGCTCCGGACCATTTTTCGTTTATGACCTTCTGTTTTTGTCATAGCTCCCTCGTTAGTGTTTGGCTCACCTCACGTGTTAGCCTAACCCACTTTAAAAGTAGCCATGAACTTGTAAATTGAAGACATACCTACACACAGTTCTCTAAACATCTCTGTAAGCAAAATGAAAATCTCATCCCTAGTCTTCGTTTTCGAAAAAGTTTGGTGACAATCGATAGATTTATTGCTGGTCAACGTTTCGCTTTTGACACAAAAGCTTCGTCAGGCCAAGTGACTAGGTTCCGAGGTTGATCGAGATTTAAGGCGGAAGGAGAACCAATCAGCTAAGTCAAGCTAAATCTCTGTTGGGTGTCGGCCGAGGGATTTTAGTGTGTTAGAGTGGTTGAACAAGTGTTGGGTCGGTGGGGAAACCTACATGTGTTTGGGTCCTGCCTAGGGTCTAGTTCTTCTGGTTCGGTTCATTTAATGGTTCCTCTTGAACTTCATTTAAACCTTCTGTTAGTCTGTGTGGGTGAGCTAGTGCTAAGAAAGTTGTGTAGGAGGGATGCTGTGACCTTTGGTCCTGTGACTTTCACTGCCTTCAGGTTTGGAAATACCAATCCCGATTGATACGGCTAGATCTCATACCGTCAGTGAACTGTAGATGGCTCAAAAGGCGAAGTATTTCACAGGTTGAGTGGATGTTCCAACTTGGAGGAGCTAGTCAACAAGCGAATGCGTGACATGAAGGATAGACGACGCCATTTGCTGTTCAAGTACGAGTCAATCACACTGNTCTGGTGCACAGGCTCCAAAGCCAAAACGAACAAAGATTGCCAGGGTAATAATCCTGTCAACCTCGTATTGAAATTCCTTCCTTAGGTAAAAAACAAAATGCCAGCTGCCATTCAAATCACAGCTGAACAATTGCTTCGTGAAGCAAAGGAAAGAGAACTTGAAGTAACACCAAAGGCGCCCCAACAGAAAATCACAAGTCTTTCAGAGCTCAGAGATTTTCAACTGCGCAAACGAAAGGACTATGAAGACAATATTCGGAAAAACAGACTGGCAATGCAGAATTGGATTAAGTATGCGAAATTCGAGGAGAGCCAAGGCGAAATTCAACGGTAAGTGCTTTTCACATTTAGGCGTGCCACAATTGAGTGAAGCTCATTTCGTCGCACCGCTGTGGTGCTTGTATTTCAATTAAAATTTTCACATGCTAGTGAGGCCCATCTACACCGAAAAACCGTACAGTTGTTTCATCATTATTAGGAGGCCATTACCAACTCCAGGCAGTTTCTTACCCGCAACTTTTCTATCAGCAGTCTAACATGACCGTTCGGCTAGGAGCGGCTGATAAGCAGTGTGATTGACTCGTACTTGAACAGCAAATGGCGTCGTCTATCCTTCATGTCACGCATTCGCTTGTTGACTAGCTCCTCCAAGTTGGAACATCCACTCAACCTGTGAAATACTTCGCCTTTTGAGCCATCTACAGTTCACTGACGGTATGAGATCTAGCCGTATCAATCGGGATTGGTATTTCCAAACCTGAAGGCAGTGAAAGTCACAGGACCAAAGGTCACAGCATCCCTCCTACACAACTTTCTTAGCACTAGCTCACCCACACAGACTAACAGAAGGTTTAAATGAAGTTCAAGAGGAACCATTAAATGAACCGAACCAGAAGAACTAGACCCTAGGCAGGACCCAAACACATGTAGGTTTCCCCACCGACCCAACACTTGTTCAACCACTCTAACACACTAAAATCCCTCGGCCGACACCCAACAGAGATTTAGCTTGACTTAGCTGATTGGTTCTCCTTCCGCCTTAAATCTCGATCAACCTCGGAACCTAGTCACTTGGCCTGACGAAGCTTTTGTGTCAAAAGCGAAACGTTGACCAGCAATAAATCTATCGATTGTCACCAAACTTTTTCGGAAACGATGACTACCCAATCGGTTTCAAGTATTTTCCACGTGATTGAACTCATCCCTAGTCAGTTTTTTTTGGTGAACTTCGGGGGACAGTTTATCTCTGATTGCCACAGTTGTCGAACCTGCTCTGACGTAACAGTTCTCTCAAAACCATTGTCTTCGATCCTTAACTGTCAGCGTTCGGAAAGCAACCAAATCTTGTATGAGAGAGCTCGAAATAGCTAAGCGTTTAGGGCGCGGGTTTACTGACTGGAAGGTCGGTGATTCAAGTCCGACTGTTCGTATATAGGCCTGGACAATCTGGCAGCATCTCAGCCGTCGCGTGGCATGGCAGCCAGGCACCGAAGGGTTGTTACGGTTGAGCTATTGTTGTTTTATTATTCCAGTGTGAGATGTAGTGCCTTCCTCATTAGATGGTCGTTTGCCACATGCTTACTCAACAGAAAATCCCTTCACATACAATACGATCATGTATCCTAATTTTTGTAACTTAGATCGTATCGTTAACATTCTCGTAAGGCCCGGATCGATATAAACAATCCTTGTTTAAATTGTTGGTGTAAAGTACACCTTTCCTCGGTAAGACGGTTTTCACCGTTGCGTTCTTTCCTCATTTTTAGTCTATATCGTGAAATCTTAGGAGAGGCCTATCTACTTCGTGGAAGCTATGAAACAGCGATGAGGACACTTAATCATTCTATTCAAGTAAGCATCTATTTTTATCACTTTAACTAGTTCTACTTGGTAACTCTAAACGTCCGAACTTATCCCGTTGGTGATCTTAGAGTCAATTATATTGTTTACCATGTCACAGCTGATTTTTAGCTGAGTCTCACGTTCATATGAAACTAATTTCCAAATGATCGTATAACTTCAATTGTCAGTTGAAATAGGGACTAGGCCTACCTGTTGAATCCTGATAGAGGTGAAATCGGTATCTCCTTGTCAGAGTTTTTTTCAGCTTTATAAGTAACTGTATGTCATACAAATACCCCAATACCTTGAATATGGTTCTGACTGAAAGTTATTACGAACGAGAGATTCAGCTAATTTACATTTGGGTTCCCCGTTAACACAAATCGAGTTGTTTTTAATGAGTATCTAATTCCATTTGTAGGAGACCTTTTTCATCATCCGTCGCTCACTGATTTTACCTGTGCCACGTTAGTCACCTCAGTCACACATCCCTGGTCGCCACGTTACTGATCTATTTCTCCGAGCCTCTGTTTATTAGTTTAGCTGTTCTCAGAGCAGTATTGACTGATTTATCCGTTTTTTGGCTATTGTCCACTTCTACTGTACCAATTCCCGCTCACCGTGAAGGCTTACTAGAAATTATTTGTCCTAAAGTTGAACAATCGTTATAAACTTGAGCAGATTGCCCTTTGTTTTTTAGATTGATCCAAATCGACCGGTCGCCCAAACATTGTGAGTTTCTACCATTCTTCGTTTTACTGTTTTTCGACATTTTCACCTGAAGTTTGTGAGTCTTTTTCATTTGAGTTTGTAACAATTAGGTAGCATGATTGCAATTAAGTTCGTTGGAATGAGTTTAGATCTTCGGGCTGGATGTATCATCCCCTAACGTCTTCAGTCAGTTGTGATCGAGTTGCCTACCTAACCTTGATATATAGTTCCAGAAGATGTACGTCGATTAGTTTTTTTTAATGCAACTGGGGAAGAAGCATGTGTAACATCAGAGGAAGACAATTCTAGCAAGCCTAAAGGGTAGTGAAGTATCGTCAGCATTCAAGTGTTGATGTCTACTATCTTAAGGGATGTTCTCAAGGGCCAAGCATTTTGTCGAGAGTTAGTAGAGTATCAATATCTGTTTAGTCTTCAGTCTAACAGTTTTGCTGCACTTTGGATTCCTGATGGTTGTCGCCATTTGATTCGTTTATTTTCGGCTTGGACCCTCTAGGTGTGGCAAGGCCTATCGCCTTCTAGGCGATCACCACCTCGCCCGTGTACACCTCGAACTTGGTGTCCAGTGTGCTCGTCAAGCGTTGGGATCGAAGCAAATTAGAAAGGATTTACTGATTTTTGCTCTGAAAGGTATGCGCATATCATATAACTGATACACCCACTCCCCAGTTCTTCCCCTATCACATCAGTATTGGGTTACTTGTTTGTGTGTTTTATCTATCCCCATCAATATTGAGACAGCTATACGATGCCCCCGTGACTTCTCAGCGTCGATTGACTTCACTTGAAGCAAACATCATTGCTTTAAACTTCTCCACCAGCAAACCAAAGATTTCCGTCCCCACTTCAGTGCATTGAAATTCGGATATTTTAACAAGTTGCAATTCGTAAGCCTCGTCAATCAACAAAACACCCTCGGACAGGTGAATAGATTTTTTCATCAACTTGTACCGCCCAAAATGATCCAGTTGGTTTCCAGTGCACTTCTAAACACAGGATGCATAGTTTGATCCTGAAAAATATAATCTGTGGAGACTCCAGGGTTGAGTGAAAAACGACTTCATAGCCTCGTTTCTCTCACCCATGAACTCGCCCGTTTACGGGGTTAGTTTACGGCTTGTAGTCTAAGAGATCAGTGGCCTGGAGACATCAAAACCGAGAGATTCAGCCGGGTTCCAGGTGAGCCTGTCGTTTGTGATGTTTTCAGGTGAGTCTCTCGAAAAAATCAAATTAATTTGCAACTGAGTGTATATTCGCTAATTTCGTGCAATTTGGTTTCAAGTGGAACATAAGGTTAACGGAAACTCGAATACTGCGCCTACCTGATGAGCCCCAAGAAGGGCGAAGTCGGTCTTGCGCTATCGAGGCGTTTTCAGCAACCTTATGAGTAGTGCATCACAAAATAAGACATCTTTTCTTTTTGTTTGTTGTGAGAATATCAGTCGTTTCACGCAACTAACGAAACTGAAAGGCTAGAATAGCGTGTGGCAGTGTGCTAATTATTTTGTCTAAACGGCATAACATCGGTCTCAGCGATACACCTATCGTGACCCATGATGTTGGACATCTGGTTACTCTTGTTGTCATGCTTGACAGCAGTGTTTAGTAATAAGTCGTTTGTTTACGCAAAAGGTTGTCTGCATGGAGCCACAAATTGCCTCACACCTGTGCCTTCCTGAGAAGCATCCTTTGTCACGTACAGAGAATCACGCAGTACATTGCTGTCTCTAACTAGTGATGAGGAGTTTTCAGTGTCGCGCTTCGACTTACTGAGTAAGCCTATACTGACAATGAAGATTCGTTCAGCTGTAACACCCTTTCGGTGCCCTGCCGACATGGCACCCGAAGGAAGCACGAGTGCTGAGATACTGCCAGATTGCCCAAGCCTAGACAGGGCAAGTCGAGAGGTAGAGGTCATGTTCGAGCCATGGACCTTTCGGTCAGTAAATTCGCGCTCCAATCACTTGAACCATCTCCCCCCCAATAGAGGTTGCCGTTGACTCTCAAAACAATGTCGTTTTGTCAGAGAGCTGTTGTTTTATCGTCAAAAATGCAGTCTCCCATTGTTGTACAGACGCGATGTTCAATACCGATGTCTTTATCCGTGTACTGATTCGTAGCTATATCTAAGAAACATCATGTTTTCTTTAAAAATGCATTATTGAATTAAGATTTTTAAGCTCACACACTGTTGAGCTTGCCAAATTTCATGTACAAGCATCTATGGTGTAGATTTCGGAGCGATGGAGTAACCTCCCCTGTTTTTTATTTCCCAGAACTCATTGAATTCAAGTTAGTCCTTGGTTATTCCTACATTCGTGAAGGCCTTCGAGGCAGAGCGATCGATGAGTTTGAATCTTTACTCCAGTACATAAATGAGTAAGTTTCTTATTTTCTACTTGTGTTTGTTCAATCTTCCGAGTCTTTGAGCTCTTCCATGTATATGCTTTCCCACCCTCAAGGAGTTGTGGCCGTTGTCAAATGTTCAGTTGACTTCGGCCAAGCGAGATAGGCGCAGCTGAACAGTCATATCAACGAAGGGATTCTTTTCAATATTTTACTGTGGTTCCTACTAATTTATGGAGTGGTAAATATTTCTAATTGTAAAACACTACATGCATAACAGGCAAATCAGACAAAACGACAAGAGGTCACGTGAATAGGCTAGGGTCTGATGGTTGATCAGATTGTCGTTTATCTGCAAGCTTGGCAATTGGCTTGCAAACGTTTCTCCCCCAGTCAAGGAGACATTGTCAGTGCAGTTGAGTGGGCTAGGATCGTCTAGTCAAGTGAAAATGGATGCGGGGGCCTTACGCGGATCATTTGGTGTGCTAAACCCTGATTACGTGAGTTTTTCAACACAGGTGGATGGGGTCTATCAGCTATGTAAAACAGAGAAAATTCAGTGGCTGCACAACCTTTACCTGGACGCTTCGATATGGTTTGTCGATATACATCGTCTTCACCTCGGCTGACATGACAGTTGACCGTTAAGGCCTTGTTACCACCCATTTCTTATTTGCCCCTTACAGAAACTGAGCTATTCGCTGTTCTTATCGCAATGTTCACGAGTCATGGAACTATGAGTTCAGGCAGTTGCTATTATTGTTCTGCCCATTTAACCTGCCCCACGAACAAGCACATCTCGAGGTAGCTGGACGCTGAAGCTAGTGATGTTCGGCTAAGAGCAATTCATCTGCATTTGAAGAGAGAAATGTAAAAGGTGAATAAAGACGGTGAACAATGTAGTGTGTTATTACGCCTAGTAGCAAGCCGACATTAAGGTCCCTGTAACCATTTGTCGTATCAGCCGGACTTTACCATACCTTACAGCTCAAGCGGATCATAAACAATCGTTTTTCAAATTAGGTGTCTTCGTGAACCTTATTAGAAGTATCGTGTTAAACTACTGCACTGTTGATGCTTTGGTAATTCATATCCACACACCACGGCATCGTGGTTAGCAAAACATTACATTTAACCTGATCTATTGACTCCGTTTCACAAAACCTACTGATCCCAGCCATCCGTGTCAATAAACTTGTATGATGAGCGCTCGCCACGTGTTATGACTCAACCAACACCACGTCACTATTCTTTCCGTAGCTGCAATCCTATCCATGTGCATATCACCACTTCGTTTTGATCTGGCTAAGATGGTTGCATTTAAAAACGAAGATCCCCTAATATTAGCGAAGATTTGAAACGCAGTCTTGTCAGGAACCGTTGTTTGCATCTGTCCTGCTTTTTGCTTTTAACTATCCGATTTAAGAGTTGTCAGTGCAATGAAGCCTGCCAATAAGGGGCACCTGACATTTAGGGGGTTTTTGAATTTTTTATCAGCTTCTCATTAAAACTTATTTGAGAGTTGAGGACAAGGGACACGGCAAACAATCCTACTATGGCGAACCCACTTTAAATGATCAGGTCGCTGACAACTGGTTGATTTGTTTATCCCATCCATCCCTGTTGTTTCTTTTTCGGACTCATGCATCGTTGACTGGATGAGTTCAGGTCGGTTTACCGTTAGTTCAGTGTCGTAATCTGTCGACCAGTCATGGCTCCATACTGGTCACGCTTAAAACCCCTTCGATTTTATTCAGAGCTTGTTACTATGACCGACCTTCGGTATAAATGCTGCACTATATGTATGTTTGTGTGTGTGCTAAGGGTACTATGTGAGGCTTGAGATCTCAATCTTAATCCAATCTGATCCCTGTTCTTCTGAGTTGTTTAGGCTTTGTTCACTAGAGTAATCCCAGCGTGATAAAGCCGTGTGTTGCGTAAGATATTGAAGGACGATCATATCCAAAAGAGGGATTTCTGCCGTTCTCAGGTCTGCTCATCACCACGCACCGAGGGAGTTGCTATAAATGAAACCCGGGAAAAGATCCTAGTTTGAACACGGAAACCTAAACATGGTGATCTGCCATTAGCTTTTCTGTACTCAGGTCAGGAACACTGAGGTTTTTTGTGCGCTTCTTCAGGTGAAAGTGACTAAGCTACGAAGTGGAACGAGATACGTCGATTTCGCCTCTACCAGTGACCGCCTGGTGGGATTCAAATCTCATAATAATATCGCGACCATGTGCTACGCGTTAACTTGGATATGGTATGCATCGAAAAGAATCTCTACAGTGCGTCTGGCTTGATCTCCTTCCTGGTGATACATACCTCACCCACTAAACCGGTCTACTTTTCTTAACGACCGATGTGGAATGGTCAACGAGTACATCCAATACCTGATCAAGTTGACAGGTTTACGGAAGATATATTGGTACAGACTCATCACTTACCATAATACAAGCATGACGCAGTCCGAATAACTGCTTCAAAACTCTTTAGAAAGACAGACCCTTCTCGATTATGTGAAAAACCATCAAACTCATTCCTTACGTCATCACACCTTAACATCTCAAGAAGACTTAGAATGGGTGTGCTGACTGATATTCGATATTCAGGTGTATATCACAGGATCCTGTAGGACGGGTGTTATTGTCATTTTTGGAATGTTTAGAATCGATTGTGTAGTCATCGTTTCAAGGTTAGCCAAAAAATACCAGATGCGCGGAGATACCCAGTGTGGAAGTCCTCTGCAGTGTAACGACCATCCCTTCTATATTGTCCGCGTCCAATTCGTTCCATTTAATTCCTTTTGTAGTAACGGTATTTTCCTCAGCTTAGTTCTCGGTCTGAGCCTCCCAAGCCAGCGTTCACGTCAAAACAACCACCAAAGGTGCACAAGGTCTATTAATGCCCAAAACGAAGTCAAGAACAGTTGTACAGCGCTTCGTATATATAGCGTAAGCGGTTATAACTTTCTGGAAGTTCTGACGCGTTCTGGATGCGCCATTGGCAACCGGCACTTGGACAATACTGGGTCACGATTGGCTGTTGGGTCCAGATTGTTGACCAATCAGATCTCGTCTTGATGCCGGACCGGCAAGTGTCCCGAATTCTGGGCCAATCTCGTGCGTGTCAGGCTTACCGGCCGTAGCAGCGCCTAAAGACGTGCGGTAAAGCGGGATCCGTGCGGAATTCTGCCTAACACCTTTTGCGACCCATATTGAATGGGTTACCGCTTCATCGAAGCTGTGGCAATTGTTTCCTCTTCACCTCCGTCTACGTAGACTTTTCATCCTCCAAAATGGCGCGAACTTGAAATTTACATTAAAGTGCATCCTATTACGCTATTGAAAGGATTTCGCCGCGTTTGGATCCCCAAATAATAGGCGGCGAACATGATAAATAGTCAACTAGTAAGACTGTTCTTGTTATCATTCATCCCCCAAACCGTGCTACTGTAGACAGCAAAAGTTGATCCAGAAAGACAGTTCTCACTCAGTAACATAGTGCGATCGTCACAAAATACGAAAGCGCATCAACCTGTGTTTCTCGTGACCATCCGGCTATTTGTCTCTTTGCCTGTAACGAGGAGCTGTTGCAAAAAAACAGAACACCGGTCTGCTACTGGACTGACTGCGTGCAACCTGCTTCACTCCACAGCTCTTGTGTGTTCCTGATGATTAGGCTCCAATAATCTCACATGAACAAGAACAGAACATTGTCGATAGTGTGAGATTTGAGAATGGACATTGCATCCCAAAAGTGAAGCCAATTAGTGCTGCAAAACCAATAAGAAGGAGTAGAACAAACAGGTACTAGTATGAACAACTATCTTGACTGGCTAGCCGACTTTGGAACCACACAGATCCTTTTTATCAACGAGACTATTCCATCCGATTCCCCAACATGTTGAAATGTTGCTGAAGGTTTTTCCTCAACCGCCAATGTGCGGGAAACTTCAGTGTCATCACTGACCATCGTCAGTTGTCAGTGATGACGTTCTATCGCTTTCTTACATTCTATTTTACCAAATCATTTCTTCGCCTAAGTTCGTGTTTAGTCAGTTTGGACGATTCTGTTCAACCGAACAGTTATAATATTGGTCACACTGAATGAGCACTATGTTTCGCCCTTCTTTCCTTATTCTCATGTTTTCTCGTTTTTAGGGTATTTGAGCTGTCATCCTTGGGTCATCCAACACCGGTTTGGGCTTATCACTACTTGGGGTCGGCCTTCAGCCTGTTTGCACCTGTGAACGACTCTGAGCTGCGGTGAGCCCTTAATCCGAACCTGGAACTTTGGTTCCATTTTTTAAACAGATTCCAACACCTTACACCTACCCTCGCACCTAGTTAACAGCGCGTTAGTGTCAATTTTTATCTCACCACTGTAACCCGAATCATCGCAGCCTTTTGTTCAATCTATTACGTTCTTTTTCTCTGTTCACCATTTTTGCAGCTTGAAAGTCCCTGTCCGGTTTTTATCCGTGCTGCGCTTCACTGAGGGACAGGAGTTTATTGATTTGGACGGGGGAACAATGGATTTGTCTGCTGGATTCATACTCGCGGGCATGTGAGTGCTTTTACTGAGAATTTCAACAAATAATCGTTTTGATACTCGAAATGGGAACTCAAAATATACATATATATGTATACACTCAAAATACTCGTATTATCATATAGTGTAGTTTTGCCGGTGGCCCTCAGTCTCATGAATTTGGGCGGTGGGTGTGGGCATATGTGCGTGCTCGTTCATGTTTGGAGGTTGTCCTTATTCTAGCCATTCGTAAACTGCGATATTGTTTTTTGCAATGTCGGAACATATTTATCATCCTCTCCGTGACTGACTTGGAATAAGTCCTATAATGAAATAGGCATCCTCAGAATCATTGGGATTTTACGACAGTTAGTCGGAAAACCACGAGATATTTTTCGGAAAATCGGTGTCTCCTTTAATGTTCAGTCGATTCACTTAAAGGGTCTCTCTTTGTTTAAAGAGTTTTGTATAATGCTACTCAGCAATCATCGCTTGACCGTCCTTTTTGTGAGTTCTTTTGCATGTGGAACTATTAAATTTGGAGATTCTTTGTAGTCTATTCCGCTCAGTACCGTATTGATGTTCTTCCTCATAATGCATAGCACACAAGATTCCTTTGTGAAGGCTTCCAATCAGATTTCCCAATTTGATTTAGGTATTGTTGGATGATTGGTCACTTGCATGAGTGTACGATTATGGATACATTAGTCGAGGTTGTTCGGACTCGCCACATGTAGGATTAGGGGGGGGGGTTGTTAGGACGATAATTTACGTACTGTATGGATGGATGGATGGCCAAATGTAGTGTGCGATTAGGCTGTGCTTCTGAACATCACGTCTTGCGTGCTAACTAGTTGTTTTACTGGGCTACTAACCGAGGGTTTTCAGTGCCTTTTTTAGCAACCTTAATAAATGTCTTGGACATGTACTGTTGCCGGTAAACGAAGTATCTCTTACATTAACTGCTCGATAAAATCCCACGCCTTTGGCTTGGCAATTGTCCTGTCCCTCCGAATGATAATCCATCAGTTCTCAGTTGATTATCCGAATCAGTCAACTACCCGCAAGGTGGAGAACCAACCAACCTTACTGTTGTCCACATTTTTATTTGAGTACTCGATTCGTGACTGACGGGGAATGATTTTGCGGGACTTGTCATCAGGACAGGAGTTCAACCACCAAAATGTACGAAGGTTCGGAGCCTTGCCTGTGATGAATATTAGAAAATTTTCTTATATGTTTTACTGTTAGAACCCTAGCCTTCCGTCAATAATTTCACATTAACATAGGAAATTTTCTCCGTAGAAAACGTACCCAGGCGACTGCGTGCGGTCAGAGCAATGAAAGTCTTCAACCCTAATTTCGCCCGATACCCTGGAGAAGTATTCCTCCGTTCTTAGAACGTCACCACTCATATGGTTGGTGACATTCCGCTTCTGAATTGGGTGTTCTCGAGGCTCGTCAGGCAGGCCTAGTCGAAGAGTTTCCACTAACTGTGCTTTCTACTTGCACGTAATGGAAGTCGTGCACTTATTTGTGGTCTAACTCGGTGTTGACGACAGATTCGATCAATATCAGCTAGATCTCTCGTTTGTAGTGACCCAGTCGCTACTCAATTCCCGTTATTGTCAATCCAATTTGCAATTCAGTTTATTTCGCCCTCTATGTACAATTTAATGTCCAAGCAAAGCATAATTTCCTTGTAAACTTGGGGACTGAACCTGCTTGACGGAGCCCCCGAAGGACTAAACCGGTTGTCAAAGCACTTTCAGCGACCTTGTGAATAGTGCGTTCTGTCAAGGCAACATGCTTCGATATCTCGAATATTGCAACAACTGAAGCGGCCTTTGTGTAGCTCATTCAGCTGATTCACGCAAAGTTGATTTTCAAGTTAGTGTATACCACCATTCTCCTTTACTCTCTCTTAACTCGCTTCACTATTATGCTTCAAGAAGGATGCACTACGCATTCGACATAACTGCTGTGCATCTGTTTCTGCGAACTTTTGTCTGTCGGACCCGTTCACATGAATTAGGCCTAATAGCTCGTCTAATGCGGAGCTGGATAACGGTATTCTGCTGGGAGTGCCTACGTAAATCACAACAGTTAGGAAGCATGGAGTACAGGTGCCTTACTGATAGTTCTCAATCATGGTAAAACCCATGTTCTATGTTGAAATTGAAGCAAACCTAGTGGACACGTGTTGGGATACGACTTTTTTTTCATGTGATGTGATTTTCATGTTTAGATTGGAGAAAAGCTAGTTTAGTAATGTTAATCTTTACGTTGGAACAGTTATGTGGGTTCCAAGATGGGTTGTACGTGAGACGTGATAGGGGATTTTTCGAATCATTCCCTTAGAAAAGCTGGTTCTGGTCACGCTCAACTTTCATGTGGACGTACCGGAGGGGAGAGCTGCTTAGATGTTGATGATGCTCAATTAGTCTACTTTCTCTGTTTGTAGTTACTTTGCTGGCGCATTCAAACGTTGGTCAGAAATCAAAACTAGCCCCTGTCCGCTTCCTGACGCCACGCCAACCGAATCTCATGCTGTCAGCCGAGGTTGCTTTTTGATTACGCTTGGTCTCCATTGCCTCAGTCATGCCACTTACTTGCGTAAATCTCGTTTATCAAAGTCCTCATCTGGATTGACGTTGGATACACTGCTGCAACTTTCCGAAAGTTCTCTGAAGCAAGCTCTGAACGTTCTGGACACATCCGCTGCGCTTGACCAACGGTTCCTGGATGCACAAGATGCTGACGAAGATATATCAGAAGTAATTAAAATTTCTCGAATGGACACAACCGAGGAACAACGAGTACGTGACAGACTATCAATCAATGGGGTTCTACGATCAAAGGCTTGGTATGGACTGGCAATGTTGCATTCCGTCGTGGGTGGTGAGTTTCCAGTTTTGACTGACCCTTTTTTGGTCGTCTATCTCTGATTCGTTTGCAAGCGGAATGAACCTCTACTCACTTCTTCTACCCCTTTTAAATGGGTATCGTCTGTCTTTGGATCTTCCCGCCGAGATTCGATTCCCAACTCTTTTGAGGAATCTTCCACCCAGATTATCTTTGATGGCCGTCGCAGTTCTTAATGTTTAAAGCTCACTTCCGTTTCTGTCCAGTTTCTGTCCATAATCAAGGTCTTTTTATCCCTCCTGTCATAAATTTGACCTTCGTTTCATTTATTTGCTCAGGACTAGGATTTCGAAACTTACAGCACCTGACCGAAATGGCTATGCTCCGTTTGGCTTGTGCTCCACAATTGGGAAGTATGAATTATTGTCTCAGGTCTTGGTACCGTTAAGCCCAGACGTTAAGTATGGAGAGGAAGTAATCGTCGTGGTTGATAACTTCATCGGCCTGGTTAATGGCATACGTCCACAAAACCTCTTTGGAATTGATGTTTCTTTTATCTCTTCTCCACACCTCTAACACCGACTTTGTGTCTAGAAAGGTTCACTGCATCGGTGTATCAAGAAAGAACGATATTTGAGAAACAACATACCATTTTTGAAGCTATTTGAGGTCCGTGGAACCAGCTGATAGCATGTTTCCTGTTTCCGGCTGCTCACCAACCTGATCTCGTTCGCGAGCCGGCATCAGTAGCCCCGTACTGGATGCTGGTAAACTTGGTAATATATTCGCGATTTTCACTCTTTCCAGGCCAATTTGGTTTTAATGGAAGGCTCCACCAGAACATGCCGTGTTTATGGCATCCAGCTATCGCTCTCGTGCAGTACAACAACTCGACAAGCTGCAACCTTGGCATCTATACATAAGTGGTGATTACTCCGTACGCGTTTCTCAAACGACCAAATGGTTTTATGAACATTGCAATTCTTGCGTTTGTCATTGTCTGGTGTCATGTCTGTGGATAGTCTGTTGACAAGATGAGGGGAATCGGGGCAGCACACAATCTCACAACCATATAGATGAATATATGGTGCCTTGCGTTGAATTCCCGTTGCAGACTGATAAAAGATCAACTACTTATATTTAAGCAAAATGCCACTGAATCGGACCTCGTCAGAAAAAAAGGCGCATTCGTCTACTAACAGCAACATACGGACTCTGTACTTGGGCGGCAGTGTTCGACCTGGAGACGCTTCGAATTGAACAGGTAACCGTCTCAATGATGGCACGCCTCTGCGCAGGCCGCGGGGATTGATCTCACTCGAAGGCGCAGGGTTCAGGCATGGAATTCCGACTCCTCGTGCTGCTGCGCACGGCGGATGCCTCTTGAGCAGTAGCGGATTCTTATTTTTAACTAAAGTATTTTGACCATACCGGGCAATGCGTCTATGACCATTGCGCATGCCGTTGTGTATTCTGAGCGTGTTGTTCTTGATGCCCACATTTCCTTACCCATTTGTCCTGGTTGTACGAGGACTGCTCCGTGTTCGCTTTTCGGCCATCTCTGAACATTATTGAACTGAATTTCGGCCAGTATGGCCCACAGAATCATTACACCACTGAAATCCGACCACTATCACTACACTTTTAGGTTGGGATATATAATTCTGTCGAAATTCAAACTGGTTGACTCAGTGTGTACCATCATTCTTTCCATACTTCTGCTTTCAGGCGATTTCGATGCTCAAATTGATTACTGTCTATGTCAGGCTCTGTTGGCCAGTCCTACCGTGAGTAGTTTCGATTCTACAAATATACACATTTGCGTACCAATTTGGTTTTCACGGAAGATTCACCTGAAACCCAACTGAATCTTTCGTTTACGATGTTCTTCTATTCGATTTTGTTGTCTGTTTCCGCTTACTGGTCTACTCACTATTTTTTCCGTGTTCATGGTTGAATGCATACAAACCCAAATGGGTGATTTGCTGATTACTGCTTGTCTGACTAGTGTATTACACTTATAGCCTGTCAACTAACATACTTTGAGTAGGCACTTTTTTGGCTGTACGTCTGCAGATAAACTCGTTCTTAGGAAACCGAATGAGGGCTATTGTGTTACAGCGATGGAAGCAAAACAGATGAACGTTCCTACTGGAAATTGTTGGCGGTTAGCGTGTCTCGGATCCCGGTGGAATTCAGAGTTTATCCTTATAGAGAATATTTGAACACTTGAGTCATTCAACACTAGGTCACGTGTTACGAACTCTGCAAGCCAACTGCACTGTTGACCAACCACCCGCAACTAACGGCTACGGGTTTTCACTTTTCTCTCTAGAAGATGTTGTTTGGGATAATCCTCGAGTTTCATAAGATGCTATGACTGCTAATGATTTCTCACAAACTTGAGGTAGACGTACGATACTTCCAGGCTTATGGGCCTAATTTGTTGATAATATGACAAAACTTGGAAATGTCAACCGAGGTTTCATCCTTCAAGTGTAGTTAGTCTGCGCCGGAAAGCTAAGAGGCACTGTACAGCTGTTTCATCCTTGTTGAGAATTATTAAAACGGCTCATTCGACGAATCTCTAGAAGATTCGAACTCGTGACCGCCTGACTAGTATTTGTAGACTGAACCTTTCGGTCACAAGCAGCTATTCAGGGGTGTGGCTAACTACTCTGCAAGACTAATCATCACTACCTACAAAAGATGCTTAGAACCTACAAAATGGGAAGTTCCATGAATTTCCTTCGGAGAAGTCAGCTGTCATTGAGCTAGTCAACGTCAGAGCCACGTCACTTGGGCTGCCTAGCCATTTGCTGCAATGTTGATCCATCTTTACTCATAATCTTTTGAAGTCCGCCGGATCGAGTGTTTTGTTGATGGTGAAACTTGTGTTTTATGGCACCCAGTTTGCTTATTTTCTCCGGGGTCGATGGGTTCTTAGGGTTACCTACCCATAATTTGTGTGTGGCAAGCTAATTAGATGGATATTTTTGACTTCGCTTCCACAGGGGTCTAGGTTTCAGTGGAATGTACATGGTTAACAACGATAGTGAAGCCGCGGCACACCTTTTCAGCAAAGATCCACTCAATCCTACGTACCTACATTGTGATTGAGCTCGAGATACCGGTGTTTTTTGTTTGCGCATCGGTTCCTCGAACGAGAATCCCTCTATTTTCTATATTCATAGGGTCTCCTCCGGAAGCTGAACGATGTGTCAGCGTTTGTTGCATTCTTCCGTCGTTGCTTGTAGTGGATCTACGGTATAATAGATTTTAAGTGGGATTTAGTATCCACGTAAACCGACCCCCGTGATAGATTTTAGTCATTTAGAAATCGCTTGATTTTGTTATTATCTATTCTTCCTACGTCCTAAGTTTCTTCCAAATGATCTTGAAATATCTTTCTTGTAGATAACTGAAGGTGGTACCAGCCTTGCGTTAAGGTTGTTGCATCAAGGACGATCTCAGGTGAGTTGATTTTCCTCACCAAATTTTGCCGTTTTTGGTGAGCTTCTGACTCAGATGCTACTTGCGCATTGTTGATTATCCCCATAGTGTGAAAGCTTATGGTCGTGTGTTCAATCTCTCCACAGTTTGCCACTTCACTACTTGCGCATTTTCAAGCCGCTGATCCTGACAACTTCGCTGTGTGGCTTGCATCCGCTCACCTGCATGCCCTCACCGAAGCCCCGGAAACCAGACCAATCACACATGCCGAATCCGACTCCTCCGTTCAAATCAATCATGCAGTTTTGCAGGATCTCCTACAAGCTGCCTGTTTGGAAGCTAACGTAAGCTTCTTGAAACTTCTTGTTTGGTATATCGCTTCGCTTCTTCTATTACCATTCCATATTGTTTCCACTTCGATCACCTCCGATCACAGCCATCCTGTACGGTGCACATGATTTCACGTCGTGGATCCGGTGGTTGTAGCCAAGTTTTTTTTTCAGGTGTTGGATCATCAAAACCCTACTCCAAGAAGCAGTTCGATTCCTGTCACTACTCCTACTCCTAGGCTCCACTTTCAACAGTACATCTGTAGAGATAAATCCTGGATTTCGGCTACTTGGAAGTCGGTAAAATGGCTAGGATAATCTAGGGAGACTGATTTGCTTGTGTTAGAATGGTATTTTAGTCATTTAGTCCATCGTTTGGGCTCGATTTCCTCCTCAATCTGGGTGATATCAGACAACAGATTTTCACCCGTGTACTGTTTGAAGCACGTTCTGGGGCAGATAAAACTGCGTCCCGAAGTATCCAGCTTTTCCTTCTCGGAGCTCAAGATACTTTTGTTCATTGTGCTGCCTCCGGTCTATCGTCATTCAGCTGTAGCGGTGCCTAACTGCTATGCTACCCGAAGGAAGCACAAAGGTTGAAATACTGTCAGGTTCTCGAGGCTAGGGAGACTGATTTGCTTGTGTTAGAATGGTATTTTAGTCATTTAGTCCATCGTTTGGGCTCGATTTCCTCCTCAATCTGGGTGATATCAGACAACAGATTTTCACCCGTGTACTGTTTGAAGCACGTTCTGGGGCAGATAAAACTGCGTCCCGAAGTATCCAGCTTTTCCTTCTCGGAGCTCAAGATACTTTTGTTCATTGTGCTGCCTCCGGTCTATCGTCATTCAGCTGTAGCGGTGCCTAACTGCTATGCTACCCGAAGGAAGCACAAAGGTTGAAATACTGTCAGGTTGCTCGAGGCTAGACACGAGAAGTCGAGATGCAGAGGTCCGGTTTCAGTGATTTCCGTGAATTCTCCATTCACAGGTTCGCAATTCCTATGTGGGTCCTTGAGTTACTGTTCTGCCCACTGTGGTATATCAAGATGTGCGATTTCTCGCTTGGGTAGAGTGATCACATAATTTTCCGCAAATTCAAACTGCACTCTTCGTAATGGGGAAGGAGTGTCAACCTGAGAAGGCACCTGAAGAGAAGAACCTGATTTTCTATATTCTGACCAATCGGGGTGCACGTCTCTTGGTTCGTTTGAGACCGCACGTGTCCGGTCATCGTGATTTCTGGTTATTTCAAACACTTGCCGTGCGAATAAGCTTGCGGCTAAAATTTTGAAAGCTGGCAATTTTGCACAATCGAAATGATCCTGTTATTGTTCAAGACTTAACTTCGTATCAGACGATGGACCAGAATTTTCCGCTGATTGTTTCTGAGGGTAGAACGCTCGGGGCTTCGTTTTGACAAATGTTGCTACACCATCTCTCAGTATCGTCGCTTTTTTATCTTGGGTCTTTGGTGAATTCACTTGTTGTTTCAAACGGGTAATCACCAAAACAGCCCACTTTTCAATTTTGGGGTGGTAATTTAGTGTGCCACGAATCTGCCTCAACAAGGCGCTGCTAAATCTCGGAGCTTTTTTGTGCATTTCAGACGTGTTCTCTAATGTGTGTGTCGCTCAGCAAGTTGGCGAATCCTATATTCTTACAGACTCAATTCTATATTGTTTTTTTAAGGCTGCGCTCCCTCGGAGTGTACATAGTAGGTAGTTTTCTGTTTTTTTTTTTTTACTGTAGGCCTTAATTCTCAGCAAGTTGGCGAATCCTATATTCTTACAGACTCAATTCTATATTGTTTTTTTAAGGCTGCGCTCCCTCGGAGTGTACATAGTAGGTAGTTTTCTGTTTGTTTTTTTTACTGTAGGGCCTTAATTAAACTTTCCATGTTCGTGTAGCAGTATCATTTTTGAGTGGATTAAAATGTTCCTACTCAGCTTTACTCGCCAACTACCACAACTTTTCCCCTAGTTTTGCTACTTCAGCTAAGCAGTGAATAGCTTCTCTTCAGCTGTTGCACTTCACCGCCTGTCGATGGATTGGCCTTCACCTCGACCGACGAAGTGTTTGCACTCGATACGCTGCCTTTGGCTCAGCATCCACAGCATGCAGTTTTGTGGTTGTTCATCATCATTTCGGAATCCCCTCGTTCGTCGTCACTCACGTTGTTTCTGTTTCAACGTAAATCGGTCAAGTATTATAAGTATCCCCTTTTCGTTGTCCTATTCACTGGTTCACTACTTCAATCTCCATCTCTCAGGTTCAAGTGTCCTTGCAGTTATCGGCCAATCTTTTGCCACTGCTGGTCGACAGTGTGTGCAGCGCTCACAACCGGAGAAATTTGGCAGCATCAACTCATTTACAAAAGTCTCGGGCTTTCTTGCGCTTGGCTGTCGAGGTGACGACGGAAGCCCTGAGTCGTGCACTGGGTATGAGTGTTTATCTTCCTTCTGAAGCAATTCCGTGGTGATTTCGCTGTCCACTTAACCAATCCCGTTTCTCTAAGTAATTTCAGAACTTGTTCTTATGTACACCTGCCAGCACCCGCAACTTTTATGAGTGCTAGACGTAACTCGTGAACGGAGCATATCACGTGCCCTTTTCCCACCTGCTTACACGTTCATTCAACGCCAGAGTTAGTGTTTAGTTGTTCATCGATAGACTCGGCGATCTGATGGGCTATTATTCTGAAGCAGCCACATTTGGAGGCAATTTGAGGCTGCAAAGTATGATAAGTGGAATTTGTACGGCACTACGGCTGAGATGAGTATTAGGAATGTGGTTCGTGTGTTGGGTAAATTTGATCAGTTAGGTTGTTTGTTCCGTTTATCAAAATCTCTGCACGAACTGTAATGTACACAACCTCCAGGTAGGCGTTATCATGCAAGACCCTATTTGCACGCACCTGCGTTCTTTCCAATATATCTATGGACCCTAGTTCTTGGGCACCTCTAAACAATCGGGGATGTTCGAGATAATTCAGTGTTTAGGGCGTTGACTTGCAGACCGGAAGTTCATTGGCTCGAACCCAACCACTGCGTCTTGGCCGTGTATGTGTAGACTTCAACAACCTTGGAGTATCTCACGCCTTGTGGTTCTTCCGGGTGATGTGGAAACTAGATACCAGAAGGGTGTTACGGCTGAATGATTATTAGTGTCTAGACGTGGCACACTACTCGTAGAGTTGCTGAAAATTATTTGACAGCCCACGGCCGGCTTTGTCCTCCTTGGGGCTCATCAGATAGACGCGGTCCCCGAGTTTTTATCAGCTTTATGCTCCGCTTGAACTCAAGTTTCACAGATTTCGATGAATACTCTTTTTTGCGCACAAATTTTGTTTTGACAAGAAGAAGCCAGTACGGCTTATGTTGCTTCAGCTAGCGTTTAACTGCCATTTTGGGTCTTCCATAGGATGGACGGAAGAAATAAGGTCCTATTAGGTGTCTTTGGTTGATTGACAACGGGGTTTAGAAAGAGAAATATATTCGTGACCCACACCGCTTCTTGACTTCCTAATGTATTCAACAAACCTCAGTGATGCCTACAAGCTCTTTTTTTCAAAACTTTGAACTTGGACTTCTCAGTTGCTTCCTAATTAATTGTTAGCCTGGTATTCAATAGCTGGCTTCTGATGACATTGCCGATCATTTATTTGGTATAAACCATTTCTGCCCTTTCGCTGTCGTCACGATACCAAAACGACCCTCATGTTTAATATTCCACTGGGGCATACACTGCACGGTCAGCGTGACCTGTACAGGTAAAAAAATGGGACAAGATTAAAACTGTAGGTATTCGGTACATAACGGCATCCGTGTTACGGGTTGTCGGGGTCTATTATGACTCTACCTTTTCCGAATGAAACTCACCGTTTACCGGTACTTGGTTTTTGAGATTCAGTGTCATCAAAATACTTGCGCTTTGTCGTCCCACTGTTCGTTGCTAGGTGAAACCCATCACAAACCCAAAAGTTATTGGGATATTCTTCTTTTCAGTCGAACATAGCTGTTATAGTTCCCTCAGGTGGCTTGCCAAGTTTCTGAAATTTGGGTAAGCACAACGTTCCTCACCCGGCCCAAGTTGCGTTGGTTAGTTTTGGTTAGGCTCATCTCGAAAAGGAATCCAGTAGTACAAGTGCAGGGAACGGTCACTCCTTCTGGGGCTTTTCGTCCCCACTTCCAAGGTGTCTTCGTTTCGAGGCACTTCTGTAGGAACTCAGTACTATGTAGTGGATTGTCCTCTTTTAACTGTCCATATGTAAATGCAGAGTTGACCATGACATCGCAAATAAGTGGATCAAAGATGTTTTCGTTGCGTCGGTGAGAGTGTGGTCCGGCCGTACTATTCGCAATCTTGCAATCAAATCCCGGGGCCGATTGGATAGTCATCATTTCAGGGAGGTTTGATAAGGAGTCGGTGGATTTATTGCTGGGCAAAGTTTCGCTTTTGACATCAATGCTTTGTCCGGTCAAGTGAGTAAGCAACCAGGTTGATCGAGTTTTAAGGCAGTCCAGGAAGCAAGCTGTGAGATTTCTAATGACTAGCCGACTTGATCATTACTGGGTGTCGGTTTGAAGTTCCTGTTTGTTGGCTAGTGGAGATGCTCAACATTTACCATAAACTGGTTAGAGGGGATTGTCTTCATGTTGAACCGGATTTTGCGGTCTAGGACTCCTTAATGAAATAGCCCAATAATCAACAAACAGGAACTTCAGACCGATACTCAGTAATGATCAAGTCAGTTAGTTGCAAGAAATCTCACGGCTTGCTTCCCTGACTGCCTTAAAACTCGATCAACCTGGTTGCTAAATCACTTGGCCTGACGAAGCTCTGGTGTGACTGGGGCATACACTGCACGGTCAGCGTGACCTGTACAGGTAAAAAAATGGGACAAGATTAAAACTGTAGGTATTCGGTACATAACGGCATCCGTGTTACGGGTTGTCGGGGTCTATTATGACTCTACCTTTTCCGAATGAAACTCACCGTTTACCGGTACTTGGTTTTTGAGATTCAGTGTCATCAAAATACTTGCGCTTTGTCGTCCCACTGTTCGTTGCTAGGTGAAACCCATCACAAACCCAAAAGTTATTGGGATATTCTTCTTTTCAGTCGAACATAGCTGTTATAGTTCCCTCAGGTGGCTTGCCAAGTTTCTGAAATTTGGGTAAGCACAACGTTCCTCACCCGGCCCAAGTTGCGTTGGTTAGTTTTGGTTAGGCTCATCTCGAAAAGGAATCCAGTAGTACAAGTGCAGGGAACGGTCACTCCTTCTGGGGCTTTTCGTCCCCACTTCCAAGGTGTCTTCGTTTCGAGGCACTTCTGTAGGAACTCAGTACTATGTAGTGGATTGTCCTCTTTTAACTGTCCATATGTAAATGCAGAGTTGACCATGACATCGCAAATAAGTGGATCAAAGATGTTTTCGTTGCGTCGGTGAGAGTGTGGTCCGGCCGTACTATTCGCAATCTTGCAATCAAATCCCGGGGCCGATTGGATAGTCATCATTTCAGGGAGGTTTGATAAGGAGTCGGTGGATTTATTGCTGGGCAAAGTTTCGCTTTTGACATCAATGCTTTGTCCGGTCAAGTGAGTAAGCAACCAGGTTGATCGAGTTTTAAGGCAGTCCAGGAAGCAAGCTGTGAGATTTCTAATGACTAGCCGACTTGATCATTACTGGGTGTCGGTTTGAAGTTCCTGTTTGTTGGCTAGTGGAGATGCTCAACATTTACCATAAACTGGTTAGAGGGGATTGTCTTCATGTTGAACCGGATTTTGCGGTCTAGGACTCCTTAATGAAATAGCCCAATAATCAACAAACAGGAACTTCAGACCGATACTCAGTAATGATCAAGTCAGTTAGTTGCAAGAAATCTCACGGCTTGCTTCCCTGACTGCCTTAAAACTCGATCAACCTGGTTGCTAAATCACTTGGCCTGACGAAGCTCTGGTGTGAAAAGCGAAACGTTGCCCAGCAGTAAATCCACCGATTGCTTATCAAACCTCTCTGAAACGAGAACTGAGTTTTATTGGCTTCGGTCAGTAACGAAGCTAAAGCAGTCAAATCGCTGCACAGATCGTTTAGGCATTCGTTTTAGAGTTTGGAACACTGGCCAACAATAGCGCTAGCAAATGAATTAAGATTCATTGCCTTTCACAAGTAATTCAGAATGTCCCTCTTGCGAACTGAGGCTTCTTCTCATGCTTGATTTCGTGGTGATCATTATAGTTAGATGTGAGATCGTGCTGGTTACTACTTCATTTCCTCTTTTTTCCACTCGGGCCTTCTTACTGTCAACGTTGGGATTCATTTTTGGGTATTTCATATCCGTAGGTTGATGCTTCTCTACATCCCGTTCAATCTTTATCTTCCACATAGCGTATGAGCCCCAGAATGCACGTCTGTGGCACCATCGTGGTCTGTTCTTGCAACTCGCGGGCCTATCCAAACCGGCAGAATACTGTTTTCAAAAGTGAGTCTACAGTCTTCTGTTGATTGTGCTGATCTCAGCCAATCCCATGCCAACTCAGTTTGATGTAGATACCTGGGAGCATACCCAATCTATCCTCCCGAGGCACCGTCTGGCGCATACATGACAAGGTGTACGGTCCTGTTCTTATTAACTCGCCTCCGATATACCGTTGGTTCTAGTTGAAATATGTTGGCCGTCGTAGCAACGATTGCTCACACGATTTGGAAAGAGCACATTTACTGACTAGAGGCCTTCTAAGCGGAGTCTGTTGAGTAGATTTGTACATCCTACAAGGTGGTTTGAACTGGTTCAGTGCAAGTGATTTTTGTTCACTTTGATCCCAGTGTAGAGGTGTGCACAGTTTCAGTCCCGGATCGGAGGCTAGGTCTAGTAAAATCATCAGCATGACAAATTTGGATTCCAGAGTTGCGTATACATTATTTACTTATTTTATGCACACAGTCCGAACCTCTCTCGAAACTGTTATCGCAAAGCCACACATGGTACGCGAAGTAGATTGGACTAGCTGTCTTCCTCTAAACGGTCATTAAGTCATTATTATCAATACCATTACTACTTAACGTACTACTTTCCGTACTACTCACAGGTTCGAGAGGCACGCTCCTGTTGATCATTAACAAAGATAAAACAGCCGTGTAGTTCTTCTTGGCTTGATTAACTAACTGTAAAATGAAAATCCCTTAAATGTCAGTGAATTGTCAAGTCGCGTTGGTAGTTCCTCCCATGAGAAAACTTCTGCCATGTTTACCACTCGGCAATCCCACATATTCCGCCTTTCTGAAGATTTGCTGACATATCAGTGCACGTAGTTTCAAGTCGAGCCATCCAACCTCAGACACAGAGTCTTCGTCAGGCCAACATCAGTAAAGTTCACGTCAGATTCCTTCTCCATGCCACTGCCGTATCGGTCGCCGTGCCAGATAGTATGACGACACGTCGTGGTTTATATAAATATGGAGATACCTTGGTAGATAATTCGAAATAAACATAAACTTCTCGTAGTAAAGATGAACGACGATCCTTTCAAGGAACTAGGTTCAGTGCCATATTGGCCAATCTATCAATTGTATCAGATCACAAGTATTTCGGACTTCTGTCTGGGACCCAAGTGGACCTCATTTCGGACAAATTCAGTCATCTTTCTGTGTCGTTCGTTTATCTCCCCGACTCCTCATCCAATTTGGGTCAAATAGACCAACTTGACATAGCAATTGACCTGTTCACAGAACTTGGCAGTTAGCAGGCGTTTCCTTACCACATGAGGGGACATCAGTGCACACACTGACCTACGGTGACGAAACGTTCGCAGACCAAGTACTATGCTCTGAGAACAGTTCAATCATCTATGGACGCACTTGGGTTTCCAACATGTAGACATGTTGATAACAGACCGACTGATGCAGGAAAAACGGGAACCTGGAATATCTTGAACATGGACCAAAGTGTAAACGAAAAGCAGAGTCTTTGGTAGCAACTCAAACCCGCTGCCTCTCTCAAATAGACGAAACAGAAAACAAGTCATTTCTCTTGCATTCTGAACTCGTGGCTTAGCCAATGAAACGGACGGAGGTAAATCACATGACCGTGGTTGTAGGTATCATGGTTGTACATGGCTTGGATACTCTTAGCCAATGAAACGGACGGAGGTAAATCACATGACCGTGGTTGTAGGTATCATGGTTGTACATGGGCTTGGATACTGTCAGGGTGCCCACACCTAGACAGGAGGACGATTAGGGTCCTCAACCAGTCTTTGGCTCAAAAACCTTACCGCAAGGCAGCGATGTTTGGCGGTAAATGCAAATGCATTACCATCTCTACGGAACGAGTTGCCACATGTTCCAACCCCAACCCTGGAGGACTAGGTGTTTGTCAGACCTCTAACCATTGACCAACCTGGTATGAGAGACTCTGTGAGTGCGCGGAGGCACTCCTTATTATAGCTTAATGGGTCGCTGAGGTGCGAAAACCGTCACACCACGGTAAGGTTTAGTCTCTTTGTGACGGACTACATCACATGGCATAGTTCTGATTCCTTGTTTTCACGTGAGACACGATGCCAATGTATACACCGTACTTCTTCATTGCCCACGAGTTGCTAACGCATCTTGGTTGATCTCCTCAGCGAAGTTACAAGAGATTGCTGTTGCCAGTTAGTTTACTTTCCACGGAAGCGCATGATCTTCAGAGAACGATAGTCTTGAAGCAGCTTCCCCATCAACCATTGATGGCAATTCGGTCGCCCTGGGTCCATTAATTAGTTTATGGTGAATAGCATGATGGCATTTATGCTGTTTGCAACCGACGCTGCCTAGGTGTGGTCCGCTGTGCGCATGCACTTTTGAACCGATTACCGTCATCGTTCCGTCACTTCGTTAAAATATGATACCTATCGACTTGGGATTTCTCTGATGACCGACTCGTTCGTTTAGATCCCCGACGAGTACACTAATATCGACCTCGCTTTCCCACGCAAACGCGCGCAATTCCCCCTCGACTGGTAAAGAGCTGCACTTCGTGGGTGCGTAAGCCGAGACAACAAATAACCTGGTGATTCAGTTTGTAGGTTTATGCTAGTATCCATACCAGAAATGCGGTTCTTGCACGTTCATTGGGAGTTGTTCAAACGAGAGCCAGATCAAGTGATAGTGAAGCGGAAAGCGAAACTTGAATCGTACAAACGATTTTCTAAGAGACAGCAAATTTCTATGGTGGGCCCTTTCAAAGACCTTATCAAAACTGCTTTCTGTCCAGTCCGTCTGAGCATTCAAACTTTTGCAAGAAGCTAGCGTGAGGCATTGATGGAGACTCGGCCATTTGGGGGCGGATTGAAGAATCATGGCCGGGCGTACGGAAGTTTCCTCGACTGGCTTAGAAACAGAATATGGCCGCATAGTTGTTGTTAATCCTCTAGACGTTTCGGAGAGTGGGCTTCTTTTCATTTGAGTTGAGTAGCAATTCCCGACTTCCCATGCCGCAGAAGGCTTTTGACCCACTTTTGTCGGTGAGAACTCTGAAGGAGAAGTCCAGGTAGATTCACTATGTACGAAAGGACTTTCGTTGCATGATATTGCAGTGAATGGAACTACTGGAGCTTGTGTTTTCGAGCACACCTCGAAAAGTACTAACTGGCAGTCCACAACAATTCTCCAACACCAACCTCCGGCCATACTTAAGTATTACGAGACCTGATTTACCGTGTCACTTGATTGTAAGTCACTAGGCTTTTACCACCGTTTGGTCGCAAGATATCCAACCTTGAGTAGAAAGGTTTTGAAACGGCCAAATGTCGTTCTTCTCGTAGTCCGCGTCTGGAGATTGTCTCTGTAACTTGTGCATCGTTCTGTCGGAAAGGAAACATCCCAGCTTCTGCCAGGCCTCCTTATGAATTTCCGACAGCAAACTTTCCTAAATATAGGTCTACTCAAAAATGACGGTTTTCGTCTAATTTCTCTTATTCTGCTGTGCAGTTCTCAGCCCAAATTGATTTTCTGCTGAAGCCTGAGGTTAAACCGATTGTAATTGTGATCTCGCGAGCCGTAGTCTGAACGCTCCTGCTCCAAAGTCTGATCGCGGTAGCCCTTGCCTTCCTGCTATCGTTGTTCTTAGTCATTCTGTGTGTTTTATCGATACTGAAGTACTTGATAATCTAACAAACTTTTCTGGAACATCAGGTCCGACGGCCGGCGCTTGCAAACGGCAGATTATTTGTCTCACTATAATACGACCGCCTCATTGATAGGACTTAGATCGCTTTGGGTCGTATCCGAGAGAGATACTTTTTTGCTATAGAAACTTCACTCTTGTCCAATGATCTACTTTTTAATTCACTTTTTTCAGCGCCTTGCGATTGCTCACTCATCACGGAACAGTGGGAGAATTTCAGACTGATCTACCCCTGATATATTCTCACTGCTTCCTCAATAGTTGTATTCAGTAAGTTCCCTGTTTTCAACATTTCTCTTTCTAATCTGCTTTGCCTGTACGATTCTGTCCTTATTGTTGATTGTCGTTTTTTTCATTGTTTGTCTTTTCTCCCAGAACCAATCCGGATTGGTCTGTCGCTGATTTGTTGCTTTCTTTGTCTGGGGAATACAGTCCTTGCGTTTGTGCTTCTTTGGCCGAAGCGTTTGCCAAAGGCATCATATTTCTGCATCATCCAAGCCTTTCACATCAGTTCGATATGGCTTTCAAATGTACGTTTGGTTGTTATGCTCACTACGTATAGATTTGCCCGTATTTTTACCTGTCTCTTGGAGGCCCGCCACACGTATATCCTGCTTTAAACTCTGTGTCCTGATTCATTTTCTGGTTTCAACGTATGTTATTTTGTTTTATATTTTAGGCTTGGTTGATGAACCATCACGATTGGCATCTCAGGGCTGTTCAGCTGCACTGTCCAGCTTGAATGTATTTCCTCATGTCGGAAAGTGGCTACTTATCCTCAGTTGTCTTGACCGTCCGGATGAGACTAGTCTTCGATGCTCTGCATCCCTCCTAACCGAGCTGCTCTCGACTCCTTCCGTTACCTTTTCACCTTTACATCCGCACTTGGTTCAGTTGTTGAGTTCTGCTGGAGTGAGTCTCATGCACCTGTTCTCTCCACAGGACACCACTCTTTTCAATTTGAGCAAGGTTTGTCGGCTCCGTCATCAAGATTATGAAGATACTGTTGAAAATCCCGTGGAGTCAATGCACACTGGCCATGTGCTTTATGAGAATGGACATCTTGATGCCAGTGAACGAGCTGTATGGATTATGAATGATGCCATGCTGTCCACATATGTGGTAAGTTGACAGGAAGGATTGTGTTTAGTCAGTTATAGACTAGCCACTGGTTTGTTTGTTCTCATCATGCGAGGAGCGGTTTTGTTGTACCCCCGGATTCGGGTTTGACGATGTCGAAATTTGTGCGATTAGTATTTATGCTTAGAACTTGCCTGTTCTTGTCAGCGCTGTCACTATTCATCGGATTGATTAAATGTGTGTGTGGGAGAGAGAAAAGCCGTTTCATAACTCATATCAAGCCCCCTAATCTGCGTCGATAGGCAGAGAATTTCTAAGAACGATTCGCGTGACGTCAGGTGCCCAACACATTGCTGCAGTCACGTTTGTGTGAGCCACTAGACTCCAATGGAACCTGGAGTCAATAACAACACAGCATCCGGCTGCTCTTCCTGTTCTGTTTGAAGATGTAGGACAATAGCTCGTTCTCAGCGTTTGGAAGGTGGAAGAAATTCAAGCAGAACGGCGGATATCTATCATCGCTCCTACCCTAAAAATGTCAGATATTGGTCTTTGGCTTGTTCGCTGGGCTGGGCAATTCGACTGCAAACGTTTCATCACCAATCAAGGTTGGAACAACCACTAACCCACCACTGCGATCCCCAATAACGCACTGATGATGTCACCTCGATTTGTGATGAAACGTTCGCAATCAAATTGCCCAGCTCAGCGAACAAGCCAACGACCATCTACGCTACCTGAACTACCGACATCTTCCTCTGCCAGATATTTGTGAACCACCATAAATTGCTAACGTGCGTTATCCTGCGCAGGCTCGTCAGCACTCACAATGGACAGACTCATAAACAAACGTTCGGATTGAGCTACTTTGTGACGTGACGTGCTGCTTATACGGTTGCTGAAAACTTTTCAACCGTTCACTGCCTGTTTCACCTTTCCTGGAGTTCATCAGGTAGATGCATTCCCCGAGTTTCTGTCAACCTTTTGTTCTACGTGAACGCCATATCGTACACGAATTGTGTAGGTGCTAACATGAGACTGAGTTTTATCTCTCGAAATGATACTTCGGTGTCTTGAACAACTGAAACACCAGGTGTCGTTTGTGCGACATATTCTACTGAAGAATATCATAAACGACAGGCTCAGTTCTCACAGCTCTGTTCTATCTCTCCTACAACACGTGGAAGTCTACACTGTGTGAATGCGCACACACTACTCAACGTTTCTTCCCTAGGTTTCAAACATACGAAACAGTCACTGTGTCGACTTTCGAAGTGCCGAACAAACCTCTCGTGTGTTTACTTGCTCACCCGACTTAATAATTTGGTTGCGTATCCTGCTTATCTGAGCTCACCTCAACTTCAACTACCGGAACTGCTTATGACCTCTCCAGAGACCGAAACTCGAGTTCAGTGTTTCTCTGCTTTGGTTCGGATTAACAGAATCACCTCGCCAAGACAGACTAGATCTTACCATGGTGTGACGGTTTGTGTGCCTCCGTGATCTATTGAACTATACTTGGTACTGTTCATGCGGGGGGGCGAGATGGCTCAGTGGTTAGAGCGCGAATTTACTGACCGGAAGGTCCGTGGTTCGAACCCGACCTCTGCCACTCGACTTCCCCTGTCTAGGCTTGGGCGACCTGACAGTATCCCAGCCCTCGTGTGCCATGGCAGCTAGGCACCGAAAGGGTGCTACAGCTGAATGACTTACTACTTATACTTACTGTTCATGCGACACACCGAGTCTCCCATACCAGGTTACTCAATGGTTAGAGGTCTGATCAACAGTCTCCTGGACATCCAAGTTGCTAGTTGGAGCATGTGCGGCGACTTGTTCCATTAAACACCGCTGCCTTGCAGTCAGGCTTTGGGCCAAAGGCCTCGCTTAGCCATTGAGGAGCTAGCTGACCGAGAAACCAAACGAAAATATCTGAACTGGCTCCTTGAACGCCTACTTGGCGATCCGATATCTGATATAGACAGCCACGGGAAAAAGATATCCAAAGCGCTACTCAAGCCGGAACTTCTGTTTGCGGTACAACCTAGCCAACCTCAAACACTGGATCTCTTTGCTGGAGACCCGACGACAGATAACCCTGGCCGCGAACAAAACTCAACCTGACGCATCATTTGTCGCCAGATCAAACTGAGTATCCCTGCAGACCGAGAAGCCTGGTGGACCCGAAAGGCCGAACAAATGGAGGAGGCAAAAAATGCTGGAAACGTTCGCAAGCTGTTCCAGTTGATTCGTTCGGCTGGTCGTCGGAAGCCTCCTGTCATCGAAATTATTAGGAACCAAAATGGCTCTCTGATATCCAGCGAAGCGAACTGCTGGGCATAGTACTTCGAACAGCAGTTCAGTTGACCATCTGCTACCTCCAATCCAGAATCCTGGCCTTCAGCAGAAGGGTGGACTATGAATATGGAGCCGTCTTCAACGTCATAAGTGTCCGAGCGTATATCTCCACTCAAGCGTTGTCGTACTCCAGGTCCTGATCACTTTTTCACCCGCTGTATTCAAGGGTGGCGGTGACTGTCTAACCTTTTTATATCTGCCTGGAGGATAAAGACAGTTTCATCCAACTGGGCTGAATCGATAATAGCACCCGTTTTAAATAACAGTACTCGCAATGAATATGGTAATCACAGGGGTTTTGCTTTCACTCCCATTGTATCAAGGCTTCTGGCGTCACTGATTCTTCTTCATCTCACGGTGGCGCGCGAGGCCTTGACTCATGGGCATCAATCAGGGTTTCGACCAGCTGGGGGCTACGCTGACCATATATTCACAGTTGTTCAGGTGTTCGAGCAACGTTTTTATGTACAAATGACCCACAACCTTCATATTCCTTGACTTCAAGAGTGCACTCGGTTCTGCCGATCGGTCAGTGCTGTTAACCACACTTGCTTAACAAGGTATGCCCCAGAAGTCTGAACATGATCTAGTCCCTATATTCACGCACTCCTAGGCGTGTGAAAGAGAGCATGATGAGCTCTCCAAAAGCTTCCTTACAAAAAGTGCTGTCCGACAAGGATTCCTCTTCAGCTCCCTCACTGACGAAATAACGATGCGATGTTCAAATCGTTGCCGGTGAGAACCTTGTTGACCTGGTGTACGAAGACATCACCCTCATCTTTGAAGACGACAGAATAGTAACGACGTGACTAGAAAACGGGTATTTAGTTGTACAGCAGGTAATTCAGTCGCGGAAAACATCCAGCATTATCAACCATGGTGGCTCGGTCATGTGCTTCGCATGCCGAAACACCATCTTCTTGCCTGCCTTAGAATGACTCGAACCACTAGGTGGACAACGTATGACTTGGCATAAGGGCGTGAGAGACTACGAAGAATTTGGGCGTTGTACGCCTTCCAGATTGAGGTTCTCGTGACCCCATCCGCGCTTGGCTGGAGATATTGCAAGAAACGATGGCTGATTGATGTCAGTGGCTTTCGTGCTGTCAGTTTCTTTCCAGGGTGTCTGATTGAGCGCTTGACGTTGTGGACACCTCAGAATGCTTGACATAAACCAACATTAGGTCCCCTCCCTCCCTCATTCTTTTTCATGTGTTTTCATCCTAAGGTTTTAGATATAAATAGATTACTTTTATGGGATTACAGCAGTGAAGCATCATTGCCAACAGTGAGTTTGCTGCCTCTGATGATGAAGAGAGCTGTTCAAATGAAGCTGATGGGAATACATACTAACTACCCAATATTCCATGAACTTTTTCGTTCCTGTGAGCACACCTGTCTCTGGCATTGCCGCTACACGTATCTGAAAGTCCTTGACGGTCAAAACTCAGCAAATGGTTTGGAGTACGCTGTAATGTAGTCAAGTGACATGCTGGTGACAGCTGTTCTGCGGGTCTTATAATGGGTGACAGCTTGACACCAGTAGTTCACATCTAGCCAGCGGGCCAATCCCGTGTTGCTGTCATCGGCTGATGTGTCTAGTTTTTTTCGTTGCATTTCTGCCTGCATGTCGTTCACGTGTAAATGCAAGCGTACGTGTGATTGCATTGATTTAGGTCATCGGCTACGGTAGTGTGTAAGGCATCTACAAGCATTTGGCGATCTCCAGCATGTCTCTCATTTCGTTAGTCTGCATCTCTTCTTTGTACCGGCTATAGCCACCGCACTTCGGTTCAAAGTTTTTGAGCAGGAAAACCCAACCTAGTTGGTGTGTAAAAGGAACTATTCTAGCAGAAGCATACTGAGAGACTTCACGTATATCTGTGCTCAGCATTCACCTTCCGGCTGTATTTCTCTTGTCGTCGTCCCATAATGTTGCTGATGTGCTTGTTCATGTGTATGAACTTGATGAAACAAGTTCCACCGAAACACCCATTCAGCCAATACACCCACAGTGAATCAGACTTGGTTCAAATGTTGATACAACATTTTGTCGCACTACCTTCAAAAACACCACTCTCGTAGGTGTACCAATACAGTCATGCTATGAGCTTATAAGAAATAAATTCTGTTTACTCAGATGTTGCAGAACTAACAACAGAACAACCGTAGACGCAAAAACGACAAGGCTAATGGATCCTGTGTGCTCAGTTCACCAGAAGCTCAGTCATTCTTGGACAGTCACTGACCTATTGCTACGCTCCGTACACTGACGATGTCATCCGATTGGTACTGTTGATACAACATTTTGTCGCACTACCTTCAAAAACACCACTCTCGTAGGTGTACCAATACAGTCATGCTATGAGCTTATAAGAAATAAATTCTGTTTACTCAGATGTTGCAGAACTAACAACAGAACAACCGTAGACGCAAAAACGACAAGGCTAATGGATCCTGTGTGCTCAGTTCACCAGAAGCTCAGTCATTCTTGGACAGTCACTGACCTATTGCTACGCTCCGTACACTGACGATGTCATCCCGATTGGTACTGAAACGTTTGCAATCAAATTGCTCAGCTCAGTGAACAGACCAACGACCGTCTACGCTACTGAGCTACCAACGTCCTCCTCAATTGCAAATGTGTTTGGTATTCTACCGAGCCCCAGCGAACGCGCGATTCATACAATGAAAGGATCGATAAGTCTCACAACTCAAAGCTTTACAAACGAATCGATGCATCAGCTCACTTAATTCCTGGTGTACGGTAGACAGACATGTTAGTTTTGTCTTGAACAACCTTATAAAAGGTAGTCGGAGTCGAGGAAGTGTGTATACATGGTCAGATATTCCCACTCGTTCATTCCCTACCTGTATTATGCGATGAAGTTTCCCCATCAGCCTGGCTACTAATCTTTGCTTGTGAACACCCGTATTCCTAATTTTGCGTGCAGTAGTTGACGAACCATGTACTTTCGCATTCTTTCGACTTATAGTCGGGTTCCCGCGTGTCTTCCGGATTGGCTTATATTTCTCGGTTTGTGGCTAGACGTCCCGATGACCCGGTTCGATGGAACGCGCTGGCCCACTGGGCGCTGGAACGATGTCGGTCTATGGTCGAACCTCCCGCCGACCAGGAACTTCGAGAGAAAAAGAGACTGAAAAGTGCGAAGTCAAAACGCTTCAGCTTTGAGTGGTCCGTATTATTTCAAGCTATTGCAACCAGCTTGCGATTGCAATCCGAAATACCGATGGATGCTGTAAGTCCTATTGTGGTTTAGTCCACACAGTTGTGTTTTAGTTCTCTTCCTGAAAGATGTTCATTTATAGTTGGAACAAACACAAGTGCAATATCTAATCAGTTCAAGTTCAAGGTTGACCGAAACTCGGGGACTGCGCCTACCTGATGAGCCCCAAGAAGGGCGAAACCGATCGTGGGCTGTCGAAGAGTTTCCAGCAACCTTATGAGTAGTTTCCTTTATGAAAATCTAATCAGTTAGTTTGTTATCTATTTGGGAGTAGCGTCTGTTTGATATTTTTCGTACTAGGCTCTCAGATAGATATAGGCATTCAACAGCGATCACTGCTCGAAAGACATCGGCCACATTAGCGCAGGCTGTCAGCAGATAAACATTGAGTCTTCATGGGATATCAAACAAGTGACACCTTCGAATTCGGTCACCCCATCAGGTGACCAGACTGGATGGAAGCGAAGCAGTTTTATCGTTTTCACGTTGTTGTCTGTTACCACACCGGCGGAGTACACTATGACATGTACAACTAGTAAACTAAATCTAGCCAGCAGACCGCATGTTGCTTTATCTACGAGTGTAGTCGCCTACCCATAATGAGCAGTTAGCTATATTGGTAACGGAAATTTATCTGCATGTTTGATGTGGTTATGCAGCTATCCTTGGAACCAACTCAGCTCTTACTCTGTTACCCCATCCAGCTTCTTTCAAAGGTTCTGGCTGGTTGTGCACAACTGTGGCTCTCACAACGACAGGTCCCGGACACGAAGTGGGCCAACCTTCTCCTAACCGGATTACGCCGAGCCTTAGCTCTCTTTCCCCACACACCGGACCTTCGAACTCAACTTCTTCTGTATACCGCTCATCTTCATCAGCTGTAAGAACCACGTGCTTGCCTCACAGTGGTTATACCGCTCACTTCTGTACAGTTGTACATTCATGAATTTTCTGGTCAACATGACACCGTTTATCCTGCCCTTGTTTTCCTATTCATTTCTTGTTCGATATTTTTTCTAATCCTCCATAGCATTCCAGGTTGTTTCAATATTGTCCAGTTTTTTCAGACTACTTTTGTTACTGTATCATTTTGACCTACAGTAGCTTCCTCCATCCCCTGCGGATCGGTCAATCTGTTTTTGTTATGGGATGTTGCTGGTTGGAAGAGACGTTCGAACATGGCAGCTTCAATCGTGTATCGCTCAGTGTAATGAACAAAAGATTATGTATTCCCGGGCTGTCCTTGTGGAGTATACCCTCCTGGGAATGTTTTTTTCTGAGCGGACCACTAAATGTCTTCGAATTGAATTCTCCCTACGTTTAGTCACGTGTCTTGGAAGGGGCTGTCGAGGAGTTTCAATAGTGCCAATCATGAATTGAAGTTAACATGGACTATGCCGTATTTTTAAGTTTTACCTCCAACGCCATCCTACCAATACGTACGATCGTATGTTCTGTTCACGTGCGCATATAATGTGCAATTCAGCCTCCGCACGAATAACCTCTATTAGTTTGATTATAATTGTATGGTCACGAATTTCACCCGGGATTGTGCTTTATTTAGCGTGCCATTCTGCGACCAGTGCCGCAGCCTGAAATATGAACTTTCAGAGTGCAGCCATCCACCTGATATTGCACCGTTTGTGTATCATAGCAAATGCCAGTTCTAAGGCTGTTCGGCAGTTTTGAGGACATCGATCGACTTTGCCCTAGAGAGGCGACGGTCGGCTCATTAATTCACTGGTAAAAAAATCGACTGGAAAGATGGGCCGAACACTCCGAACAGCAGTCCAGCTGGCCTCTTGCAACACAGCCTGGGGGGACAATGCATATGGGCGAGTTGAATGTAAACATTGATCGCCTGTCGGAAGTAATAAGGTAAGAAATATCCTTACGGAAACGCAAGAAAACGCCGAGATTGGACGGTGTGTATCCAGTCCTCTTCAAAGAAGGCGGAAACTCAGTGGTGACCCATCTGACAAAACTTATTGGTGCTATAGGGAACAAACAGAAGGTTGCGGCATGTCGATTGTTATTCATATCTCCAAAAAGGTTCTGCGGGCGCTGTGTGGAAACTACCGTGGCATCAGTCTGGTAGCTGTGATATCGGAGGTACTCTCCGGTGGAATCCTCCAAAGGTTGACTGAACAAGGGGACAGCTATGAATACTTGACTCTCTTAAGGCACTATATTCCAACTCCCGCGGACGTATGAAGGTGCACAGGAAGCTCCCGATAGAATTCACATCAAGTGGTGGCAGGCAGGACTGTCATCTTGTTTCCCCTTCAACTTCGTTACTAATAATTGTGAAAGATGCACCATCAACATCTAATATCTGTGGGGTGCTCCTGGGGCGTGCGCCCACAGATATGCACATGCGCAGACAACATAGATCTTCTTGGATCTGACGGTTTGGCATGCACTCCACATCTGCAAAGTTCAAAGTGCTACTGCGAGACGTGGGGGGTCAAACCCTAGCCTCATGCTTGTGGATGAGGCGATTGAGGTAGTGGACCTGGGCGATTGTATCAGTCTTGGTGGTCTGACGAAAGATATTTCCATTCAGGTTGAGAAGACCAGAACAGCTTTTGTGAACCTGCGTCATGTGACGCAAGCTCAACATGAGTTTATCCATCGGGGGTCAAGTTTACTATGCTGTGGTGCGATTCATACTGCTATACGGGTCAGAAACCTGGCCCAGGGGACATGGTATGCAACCAAACTCAACGTCGTGATTGCTATCGCTTGTTAGTCGGACTACCCAGCCAACGCTCGGCTGCCGCTGTCTGCCAGGTCTACCTCAGGTGGGGTTCGCTAAAGACAGTGTTAATCCTACTGATTGCGTCTTGCTCCCATATCCTTATTTCGCCTTTTACTAGGACCCTCTTCCTCCGTGGCTGCACGACAGCTGGGTACCGACTTCCATTAATAATGTACTGTCGTCCATGATGGTGAAAATGCGAACATGGGTCCCATAGCCCTGGATGATGATACTTCTCCAGACGACAGTGAGGGTCGTCTGTCAGCCCAGTGTTCGTCAAAGCCTCATACACATGCTCTTCACATACCCTCGGGAAGCACAACACTGATGCAAGGTTTGTGTGGTCCTATGCTTCAAAGCGCTGGTTGGGATTGTTGGTATTCCGCCAGAAGCAGCGGCGGAAATGATGATTTGAAGAAGCGCTCACTGACAATTGACGTCAATCACAATCCAACCTTGGGCGTATATGTTCTTACTAAGCTACACAGGACCCTCGAGCTCTGATCGGTCATTTCGCACGGGCCTCGTACTAAGAAAATTTTCTGCCTGATTTTAACTCCTGAAAAACCTTCTACTCTGGGTTGATCATTTTCCTGGGCACTGAAACCGATGTCAGACCAAAATAGTTTGACCAAAGCTGGATGCTGTGCAGAACAGAACAGACACGACATACATACATACATATTGAGTCGACCCACTTCACCACGACACCCATCCGCAAGTGTTCGTAACTTTGTAACGGTCGGTTGAGAGTCTGACTGGATGTGGCAGGGGTGGATGGACCACTCTACACACACCAAAATTACTGCGCGCCGATAAAAAGCTTGGAATTTAGAAAGGGAAAGTGGTTCAAATATGTGGATTTTAACCATATGGACTGACGTATTGCGAAAGCTTCGGCGGTTCAATTCAGCGTGAAAACACAACAACAGGTACAGCAGAACCCAAAACCCATGTCGTATTATCCTTTTCCGTTTGAGAGCCGTCGGTGTGTGGGGAATGAACCGCAATCTGAAATGAACTATTCAGAAAAGTGTACAGGGGCTTCTGTTGAAGCGGCGTTGTGAGTAGAACGATTGAAGTCCCGTGGAAATAGAAGTACTCTGGAAATCTGGGTGATGATTTTATTGAAGGATACTGAAGGTGAAGTCAATGAATATAAGTATGAAAAATTTGAGTGCTGAACTAGATCAAATCTGTGATCGAGGTTTCAGAGGAGGCTGCTGATTTCTCAATTGTTTTTCTTTATTTTTCACGTGATCCCGTAACATTTCGAAAACGTCCGTTCGGAAAACTTCCGGCACTTCTCTGGCATCTGGTAAAGCAAACACAATCAGTAATAATGGTCTCCGCAACATAACAAGAGAGATCAACCTGTAAGGAAGGAAGTTTTACGAGGGAGTCATTTAACCAAATGGAGAAAATTACGCGTATTGTGTGCAACATTCCTATATCAATTTTCGTCCATACCAGTAGAAATAGTCTACATGTATCTGAACAACCTGAAAATTAAACGACTACAATTGGCTCGCCGCGGAGGAAAAATTCCTTCACACCAAAGAATTCTCATATTCTGACGTCAATTCTGCAATTGGGAAATGATGTTGATGTCAATTCAGTTGTTACTTCTACCTGAGAAGCCGGGTTGTCGAGGTTTTGCCAAGTCCTAAAAATAGTATCACATCCAAGGGTAATACATTGATATCACGAAATTCGGTTCATCTTTGACGGCCTCCGACGGCGGATTGTTCGATCGCTGATCATGTGACACGTCTGCCCAGGCTATAAAACCTGCTATATATTAAGACCAACTGATGAGCGTCGAAACCATGGCGATTTCCGGTAAACAGAAATGCGTGCTAGACAGCCTAAGAAGTAGAAGGAATTATAGGCTCTGCGTTATTTAGATGGACTTGTAACGAATCTTTTTATTCAGTGCAATATGTGGTACTTACATATTGGTTTTAATTTCAGCTGAGTGGTTCATATCGCAGTTTTACATTCCGGAACAACTAACTCGGATGATTTTTTCCATAAAGCTCATCATCAATTCCTTGTAGACAACAATACCTAATAGTTAGCTTGCTGGAAGCGCAGTGTGCTGGCTAAGTTCTCCATCAATCATGTAACTGGCCAGGTCTGTCGCTTGATGCCTCCGACGGCACTACACTTGTAAAACAGCGAGCACTAGTGTACGTCAATCAAGCTGACTTAAGGAAATAACTGAGAAAACGGCAAATTGGAGTGTCGAATATCGTATAGTCGCGTGTCGCTTGGCAGTTGAAGCTTATCACGACTCCAGACCGTTGAAATTCCCACTTCAGGCTCCCGTTTAACAGTGCTACACGAGTGTGACGAGCAATAGGAAATGGGACGACAGTGTCTCGAGTAACCAATTTAAATTTGCAGTATGTCCCTGTAAGGCGAATTTGTCACATAACAGTAAGTAGGGATATGTACCCTCCCAGCGAGAAGAATTCTATTTCTCGTAAGCATTTACTCCAAAGAGGCAATGTACAAAGGTCAGCAGACCACTTATACAAGATGTCCTTATAGAAGAGGTATCCGTAGCTAATGAGTCTGTTGTGATTCTGTGGGGGAGACAACGCCCGTGATATTGCCCAAGCAGACAGTCCGACAAAATGCCTCGGCGGGCGGGTTAGGCGAGTTTGGAATGAATCCAGATGACAGCATTTAGAATACTCTAACCGCCTTCGTGCTGTGGGTATCTAAGGAAGAACGTACAAACCCACACAGCCAAAATCGGTACTCAAATGCCCATAAGAAGTGTACAATTTGTACACGTTGGTCATTCGGATCGCGTCAAACTCAACGTCTTGATCAGACCCTTTAGGATGCAATGTTTCCACTAAAACCTGATGAACAACGAACAGCAAATGAAGATTGCTGAACTAAATTGCCTAGCTAATGAAGTCACTCTCTCACAGTTTGCGCAGAGAATCTTTAAAATGATTTCCTACAGAGTCAGCTCGTCCTCACGCAGAGGTTAAACTCAGGAAGTTAAAGTGAGCGATCGGTCTGGAGTTGTTCACTAGAATAGGTACTCAGTAACTTATTTCACCCCGGCTACCTGTTGCGTGAGGACAAGCCAGTAATCTTTAATGTCTCAAACCATAGCTGCCGATGGACGTGCATGATAACACTTCCTAAAGCGACACGACAAGTTTAACGGTTGCTGCAATTCACGAACGCACCAGTCACGGGAAAACGGAAACCTGATTTTCGGCGATAAAAAAAGAATGGAAGCTGTCAACGGAGGTATTTCGGCAACCCAATTTCTCACATTCACTAACAACGAGGTTAACCGACTCTATTCCCAGTTGATCTAGTCACGATCGATCAAGTTGACTTCTCAGGAACATGGTGCTCCAACCACTCCTAAATTATCATTCCTCGATAAAATTTCCCAGTTAGGAATGTCCTGCCACCCGGAAAGCCAGTACACCTTCCGCTTCACTAAAATCACTGTCATCCGCAGTCCTTAGCCACTCTGTGACTAATCACCGGTTGGTAGCTCACGATTCTGTCGCTCCCTACCACTGGAACATCGGGTGTTCTCATTTTGGCATTTGCCAATTCACAATCACCTGTTCCTCCAATCATCCAAGTGGCGACCGAAGGGAAACTGACTCGGAAACTACCAGTCCAATGAATCGTGCGACTAACTTTGTAAGCCTTACGACAATCCGGTCAATAACATCGATTTGGTTTCGTCCAACATTGTGAGAAAAGCCACTCAAATTTGCTTCTCAGTTATGGCATTTGACTATTGGAGATCTGTTGAGAGGAACGAGGAAAGTTTAAACATGCTCCGAAAATGGAATTTCGAACGGAGTGCAGGGGCACAGCCTGCAGCTGGGTTTTGTGCGCCAGCAACGACCAAAGCTGAGGCATACGCTAAGTTTGCAGAGCAATGGTCGGCAGGTTTTGTAGATATTGAAATGACCCGATAGGGTATCAAGAAGTTTTGGAGCCTACTGAACACAGTCCTCTAGGGATTGTAAACGAAAACGATACGAAATGGACGTGGGGGGAAATACTATACGTTCTGAATACACTCTGATGGACTATGATTTTATATNATATATATATATATATATATATATATATATATATATAATGATAAGGCTGGCCGAAAACGCAAGAGAGAGGTCTCGCTGATATGTTGGGAGAGCATACGTTGACTCGCTTTCTTGGCGAACAGAGGATGCCAAGATATTGACCAGGAAGATTAGAACCGAAAGAAATGTATCGCACGCCGCCATCCACGAAAGGGAATGTACAGACGAAACGATACATTATGAGTACATTGCAAGTGCGAGTGCCTTCCTGCTGAAATGCCTGAGTATTGGTCAAAGTTTTTACACGAGGGGGCGCCACAAACGGACGCCCATCCCGTGCCGGAGCACTGTCAGGTTTGTTTGAAGTGACTTCTGAGGAGGCACGGTCAGTGATCCAGTTCGCCGCTGGATCCATATTAGCCGAGCTTAGGTAAACTGACAGAAGCTGGTCTACGGGAACAGAGTGGTTTGATGGACTATTCGATCCTTTTGATAATTGCTGAGGTCCGCCTAGGACCATGTGGAAAGCATGGGCCATTCAATGCGGAAATCAGATTGGGGATGATCCTGAAAATTACGGTAAGTATATGATGATGTTGAACCACTACCAACGGCGCACCGCGGTCTTTCGAAGGTTTGTCTCCCGAAAGCCCATAGTGCAGTGTCCGTTGGTATCGCCTCCATTAGAGCAACATTTACCTTACTCGAGATCTGTTCTTCACATCAAGGGTGTGGACATTATCTGAGACCTTCCTATGAGACAGCGTTTTGCTGCCGCCTTTTCTTTTCATCCCGCCCACTGACGAGGTTCTGGGGTAAATGAAGCCTCATATGGGGACTGGTCTCAATGAATGGAAAGTGGACTATCCAGTATAAGCTGACGATCAGATCTAAAAGATATCTGGATGTGTCGGTAAGTGGACAAACTGATGAAGTAGTATCAACAGACACGGCGAACAAAGCAGGGAAGTTGGGAACCCAAGGTTACGCATATTACGTTCCTTGGCCCGTTGTCCCCTTGAAAACGAAAAAACGCGCGACGGGATAATTTAGCGCATGTAACCAGACTAGCGTATGAGGGTGCTCAGAAAGACGAGAAATCAATGCCAGCTCGGCAGCACGCATAGAAACGAGAACTGGTACATTAAAGATTGGGTTAGATCGATTCACAAACCTCCTAAAGATGTGTTGCATGCGAGCAGGCATTAATGGATGTTTGTAATCTCTGGATGTTCTGGTTCTGTTACTTACTCTTTGCACCAGTAGGGATTTTCATACAGACTGACACTAGCCGACGACCTAGACATCTAATTAATGGCGCGCGTGAGTGAAGAGTGATATTTTACTGCTTCTTTCGGATTGTGTGGCAACCATGCACGTAAAGGAGGACAAAGCTGAACGATTCGGTTTGATTCGGGTACGTAAACACAGCAACTGAAATATAAAGCCCTAGCGACATCCAACAGAAAAATTGGACAACGAAAGAATCCGACCTACCTGTAACCCAATAGTATATGTCCCAATCGTTGTCTGCTAGGTTGATCAAGGCATCATAGGAACCCACCTGATCCGGTGTCAATTTATCTATGTATTCATCCACAAAGGTGCTAAATTTAAGTAGTGGAGAAAAAATGCTAGTAATAAAACTGGTAAGAAGTAAGGTGTTAAATTTAACAAAACTAATCGACCGCGGCAGTCCTGTTGTAAAGAAAACAAGTTGCGTCCCAGAGTGCAAACTTTTCAGGCACTATACAGTTAACTTCCCTAGAGACCGTTTTTCAGAAAAGGGCATTTCTGGTTGATCCCTGCAAGCATCGTTTGCATCGCAGGACCGTCATAGAACAAAACAATGTCGACTCATCCTTTCAGTGTCTCTCTTAAGAACGCAAATGTACAGTTGACCTTCGGGAATGACGTCATGGTAAATTCTACGGACTATGTCGATCAGCCTTTGATGGTTCGCGTGATCCATTCAAATGAAATATAACAAGAACGCCATCATTTAGATGTGTTCTGAATTGACTTCGTTTGTGAAGCTTCAATCTTACATTTCACCGATGTTATTTGGTGTGCACTGGCAACATGTTTGACAAGTATAAACTTCACCAAAATTACTGTCATTCACGGGATCCTCCTTCAATCCTCAGATTTAGTGAAGCGATCACCCAGAATTGTCACATAAACCAGAGATCTTTCTGTTTCAAAGATACCCTGTTTGGGACACACAGATCGTGGTATTGGTGGTTCCAGCTGTTTGTGCTGCTCACTGCAAAGGCAATCCAAACAACGCTTGCAAGCCCTTTAAAAAACCACTATCTTTTAGAACCGCCTGTAGATTTGAAAACAACCGACGGACTCGCTAACCTGGCGACTGCACTATCCTGTCCTCCATTGTCTAAATATGACGAAGAGAAACCGGGCCTTACCCGTCTAAATTTGACAAAACGTTCAAGGAAGAACGAAGCACTGTTGTCAGTTCCAGTTTCCACCGTAAAGCAAATACTATCGCACTGGCTATTGAGGTGTCATAAAAAATTCTTCGGTCAACCGCTGCCCCAAAATGTTGCCGCTGCTTATGACGATGATTTCCTACTCCCTTTGTAGCCTACAATTTCCTCGACTGTCGTCTTACTGACCACGTCGTTTACATTATTCCCGGTGGGGGCGAAATAGCTCAGTGGTTAAAGAGCGAATTTACCAACTGGAAGGTCCGTGGTTCGAACCCAATCTCTACATTTCAACTTCCATTGTTTGGTCTTAGGCAACCTAGCAGTATCCCAGCCCTCATGCTTGCTTCGGATGGCATGGCAGTTGGGCACCGAAAGGGCGTTACAGCTGGACGATTATCTTTATTATTATTATTTCTCGTATCCTTACTGACCGACCCATTCGGGACGAGAATTTGCTATTGACATGGGGACGCGTGAGCTTAGAGGCACCGCTATTATTGTCCTTTCTGTAGGATGAGTCATCGCATATCCTACAGGCGGAATATGAAAAACGGTCGCGGCTGAATATCGTCTGCGAGGATCCGGGATCATAGATCCACCACAACACTGGTTAAAAGTACTCACATTCAGTGTTGTTGTAGCTGTCCTTCTCTTCCTAGTCATCATTCCACAACTATTCCGTCTTTTACTTGTTCTTCTGTGCACCGTTTATCCCACATCGTCCAATGACATAAGCTGTGGCGATCCGAACCACCGTACATACATATGCGGTTCACAATTGTAGAACTGGATAGAACCAAAAACAAGTGGGGACAGCTTCAGAAACGATTCACAAGTATATCAATGCCTAGTGTACTGTCACAAAAAGTACCCTATCCAACACTAGATTTGGATACTGTCAACCACAAACAGCGCTGCTACTGGGAATGAACCCATGTTGTTCGTACTTGATGAAAACCTGTGATAGACCCAAATGTCATAGGAAATTCACTGACCTGAGTAATATCCCATTCTCTAGATTACCACGTTTCCTGCTCTGATATATCAAACGAGCTTTTCGGTTCTCAAGCGATTCCGTTCGGCGCAACTCATGAAATCTTGCATGCTGCAACACCGTAAGATTGGGATCCGGCTCATCCACAACACCGGACCCGGACGAAAATAGATTGTGGTGACGGGATAGTAGCGTTGCACGGACAGAACGGCCGAACAATGTAAGTGAATACCGGGAGGGGGCTAACTGACGTAACATGGTTCCCATCTCAAATAGGCTAAAATGAAGAAAGATGGTATTACGGGACATGCAGGTACAAACCGTTCAGCTGTAACACTCTTTTGGTTGCCACTCTTTAGTTGCCACGCCACCCGAAGGAAACAAGAGGGTTCAGATACTGTCAGCGGGAGCAGTCGAGATACCGAGGTTGGTTTCGGATCACGAACTTTCCGAGCGCCTTTTCTGCACCTTAACCATAGAGCTATATCGAGTAACACGTGCGTATAGATTATGAGGTAATACCACTTCTGAAGACGCTTCTTCATGCGTGTGGGCGTGAATGAAAGCAGACGCTTTCTGTTCCAAAAGCTGAATGAATTACTTGGGCTTCCTTCCCGTCCTGCACAGAACTACCGCTGAGGTAAGCTCAATCGAGCATACTGTAAGTTGCCTGGCTGCGTGCGAAGTTCCCCGCAATAAAACCTGTGCGTAACGTGTGTACCCTCACCTTTACATTACAGAGAGCTCTAAATCCATCATCCTAATCGACTGCAGCAGGCCAACAGCAAAAACTGATGTCTGACTGCCATCCAACTATGAGAAAGGGATAATTAAGCAAAGAATGGAAAGGAAAGCAGGCTTCGTAAAAAAGCGTTGTTCCGATCGAAAATAGCAATGGAATCAAATCACCGCAGTCGATCAAACCGACCCAACATCCTTTGCGAACCTGACCATAAAACAGTCATACGGGAACTCCAACAGGGTCGTCTGCGTGGGAAGCGACATGTTTGCCACTGGGACGTGTTACGAATTTCTAACCAATAAATTATGTGAATCCCAAAGAAGGAGAGATCCCACAGCACTCAGTCCGAAAGCAATCATTATTTCGCCTCGCTATTTTACTACTTGTGCCCGCAAGACTTCCGTGAACAAGACATACAGTATTTTATTTGGTAAACCGTGGTTTGGCAAGATAAGATAATTGTTGTTCTGGTGATTTCTATTCACCAGCGAATAATCGCCCACGCACTACTTCATTGTGCACATGACGAGGTCAGTTAGCACCTGGTGTGGTGCAATTTTCAGAAGTCTGTTTCTGATGAAGGTGTTGAGGATGCCCTTGGAAGTACGGTAAGTGCATTCCTCGACCAAGGCAGACGCCAGAGTACTGTTGTGTGTAAAAAGCAAGCCCAAAGACAACGTGATAGTGGTGGTCGGGTGTTGTCAGGAAGATCATCTTCCTGGAAATAACCCCCGGAATGCCCGGAACCTAGTGAGACCCACCAAAATCTCAACAGAGAAGCCGGTAAGCATCCAGACCAGTCAATCACTCAATCGAATCAGCAAAAGCTGATGAGAGTTCAGACAAGCCACAGAAGCACGATCGTCCATGATAAGCGCTCAGGCATTTCACAGAAGCACGGCCGACAGTAATGAGTGCTCACCAAATATCGATTAGACAGTGTGAATCAACGTCAAAAGTGTCATTTAAATACCGCGAGGTAATGAAGCTGTTGTGTTCTTTGTTAGCGAGGCTTTTCCGGCACTGGAGCGTGGACAGGAGTTGGATATAACAGAAGTGCACTGTCCCGTCGGATACTCAATCAAAGAAAAGATGGATGGTGGGTTTGTTGAACAAACACTACCCGGATCCCAAAGGGATTCTAGATCACGGGTCGAACAAAGAAAAAACAAGCAGGGTCGAACAAGCTGAGAAAGATGGTAGTGGCACTTATTTCATCTACTATGAACTCAATGAAATCCGAGAAAATGAGTGAAAGTTCCTTATTACGAAGAGGCGGATACAAAATATGTCCAAAACGCTTCATTAGAGAAAAGTACGCGGTTCTTTTCCAGATAAGCCCCACCACTAATGCAAAAAGTGCATGTGCGAAAAGGTAAGCCCCGCCGCTGTTTGCCAGCTCCAACTTAATGTACGCACACAACCTTGACCTATTTTTGATGAAAACGATTCCTTTCCGCATCTAGGCGCATTTTGTGCAGAACTTTGCTCCACTGAAACTTCAAATGAACTTTCTGACGCTTTCAACTCCGGTCCATGACAAAGAGACGGCAATACGTTTTTTGCAAAGCGATTTATCAGCAACGTTTATGCAACAATGTCTACTAAATGACACTTTCAAATGTTTCTGACAGGTGGAGGTGTAATGCCCAAGTGTCGGTAAGAAATCGGTCTTCGAAAGGGAACTTGGCTGGAGCGGCTTAGGATGGAGTTTAGGACAGTGATTCTATTCATTTATCGCCGGCCCAAAAATTTGGTAAAAATCAAATTCTGCTCAGATAAATTATCTATTAGCCAAACGACCACTGTTGACTGAAAGGACTTTCTACGCCAAGTTTGCCCCTGGCGGCTTTTGAAGACTCCAACAATTATCGGCGGCCCAGGTCTACACGTCGAGATCGACGAAACGCTAATATCTCACCGTAAAAACCAGCAGAGCGAGTCCTTCCTCAACAGTGGGTTTTCGGAGGGATCTGCCGGGAAACTAAACAGGTGTTCATGTATGCAGTGCCAGAACGAACTGCGGCCACTTTGATGGACACGATCCAGGTCTGCATCGCTCCCGGTTCAATCATCATCTTCGATATGTGGGTATCATACCAAGGAATTGGAACGATGAGTGACATGAAGTATACTCATGAAACGGTTAATCATGCCGAAAACTTTGTGGATCCAACTACTGGAGGTCAGACACAAACCATCGAATCTCTTTGGCACGTCTACAAGAGGCAGAATAAACGCCAATGCAGCACACACCTATCTTTAGTGGACAGCTACTTGTGTGATTTCGTTTGGAGGTAAAGGTACCGAGAAACGGACTTTCTCATGCAAATTATTAGTGATGTCCAAATTTCAACCACTTCAATAAAAATTAAAAGTTAAAAAATTTTATATCCTCTTTTTTCTACTCTTTCTTGGGTGGCGGGGGTTAATTTATTGGCGGGCTTATCTGGGGAAGATCCAAGTACGCAGTACCAAAAACAAATGAAACACTCGAAAATACAATGACGCTACCAAATATACAATGAAAACTGAAAACAGACAACAAAATGGCCAAAACGCTACATAAAAAACTATCTCAAGGGCGTCGAAACGAAAAACTCGACTATCCTACGAGGCATCCGGTGAACACACTGCAAAAGTTCGCGGTTTGTGGAACATCGGTTCATCGTGACATTCCCCGTAAACTGTTGCGTTCTCACACTGGAGTTGGGCAGACCACCAGCCGATCTAAACCAGACAGCCGGCTAAAATATCAACTTTAGACCTCGATTTGGACGTCAAATCAAGTCAGAAAGTCTGAGACCACGATTGGACGTATAGGGATGAAGGAGCTTTATTCGCTTCCTACCAATTAAGGAAAATAAACAACACGCGTACTGACGTGGGTGGGTGGGTAAATATGCCGAGAAAAAATACACATCAGAACGAAGTGGAGATTTTTCAGCGTTTAACCATACAGGCGGATCCTAGAAACCGAAAACACGACCCTACCCGTACAAACGGAAACAGATCACAGGTGTCAGCTTTTTCTACAGGTGGGACGTGAGCAATGGAACAATGGATGGAACACACTAACGTGATGGATAAAAACGATCGAAGGGTGTAGCAGTGCGATGGTCGACCAAACATTCCAATCACTGCAGGTACCACAGACCCGTGCTTGAATTGAGAATTCGTTAAGTAAATGAAGCGAACATCCACTGAAAAACCAAGAAACACAACACAGATGTTACATCCTTATTGCGAATAAGCGGAAGACCAAATCTCATGAAACTCCAGGAAGTTTCCCCAAGGAAGCAGTTTAAAAAGTGAGATCAGCTCCAAACCACACAATCGAATGGTGTGTTCGAAACAATAACCGAACTTCGCAAATTCGAAAAAACGCATCCCGGTGACGTTGTTTCGTGGACTGATTCACAAGTGAGAAGATCAATCATCGGCAAAATCGGTCAGCATAGAGACGACCATGCAACCCGGACACTCCGAATTAGTCATACATCCACATGAAAACCAACATTCAGCACCAACGAACGAAAACAGCCATCAGAAGCACAAAAAGAAAAAACTACACGCCTCACAACAATACACACCAGACTTCCTAGAGAGGACACACAATCACTCACTCGTCACAGAAATCTTATCAACGTCATTCACAATCCTCAATATAAAATGCAAAAGAGCACACCAATACTGACACTGCTGCTTCAATGCCAATGACGAGAGGAGAAAAAGTGGCTGAGGTAGGCGATGTGGTGCTGGCCTATCGCAAACATTCTGGGTTGTCTTCACTTTCAAGCAGGAAGTCCGATATCCAAGAACAAACTTGACAAAATGAACGCAATTGACATCAACCAGCCGCCATTTCTTGCAATCCCTCCAACCAAGCATAGGCGGTTTCAGTTGGACCCAAATGTGGAATTCGTAAAACACCAGCAACGCTTAGCAGGCATTGGTGGGCAAAACCCAAAGGACGCCTCACATCAACTGTCCACAGAGGCCTCGCCCTACGACACAAAACACAACAATTACCTTAGCCTAGAACAAGCGACCATTAGGTGACAGCGATATACCTACTTCAAGAGAAGTGACGCCAAAATGCGGACGCCACTAGACACATTACACCCGCAGCCAACAAACTACACAGGTGGGAAAAATTCTCCACAAACGTCAGCAAATAACCCTGAATAGACAAATACGTTCAGAAACAACAACAAGTTAACCAGCATATTCCGCTTTCAAAATGAGAGGCGCACGAACAAGAACCCTCTGGCAGAAGCAAACAAATGACAGAAATTAAGCCCAGACAAACAAAACACGTCCAATCTAATGCAAACCTGAA